AGGTGGCAGTCTATAGCCGTTGCATTGAAAACAAGACTGATTTAGGCTGCAATCCTATAAGCACTTAGCTGACGGGAGGGACGGGAGAATCTGTCAATTTCAGCTCTCTCAGTTTCCCGTTTTAAATTCGGTTCTCCATATTTCTGAAACAGTTTGCAACCCTTCCCTAAAAACCTCATGAAAATCTCATGAAAATTCTTCAGCAGTTTCATGTGCACGTTTTGACTCACATACACTTTTTGCAAGCAATTTCTCATAATATAATTAATTTCTGCGTGTTGTTTTCACAAATGTATTCCTTTTTAAGCTCATTTCCCCCTAATATATGCATATTTTTTGGGGGGCAAACATTGCTTGGATAACTTCATCGCAAATTATGGATAACTTCAAATTTCGAAAGGTTCTGCTTTGGTTCTCATTTTGTTTCAGAAAGTGCAAATTTGATCAATTCAGCTTTAAATGCGAACTGAATGAAATCTCTCCCACACCCCTAGCTGGGAGAGAGCCCCACTGAAGTTGGCCTTCTTTCTGCCTAGACAAGTGCTGTTAAACTTTGGTTTCTTTCTTTGTAATTAATCATTTGAGTTCAAATAAATAATAATTCCCACATATTGGAACAAAGCAATGAAATTAAACATAGTTTTTTGAGGATAGGGTGTGTTAAAATTAACTGATATTTGTACAGAATTGCTAGGTGGTAGGGATTCTCTCAGTTGCTGCCCCCCAAAGTCATTGTCTTCCCATCCCTTGCCAGGCTCCTGTGCCTTTAACTAGTGTTGTGATAGGCAGCTATTCAGTGAATGATGGCTTCTGTTTTGATCAATGACACAAAACTGCTACCCTTCGATGGCTGCAAGTGGCTTTTAAATTTTTCAGAATGGGAGACACTTGCCCAAGAAAGTGCAGCAATTTTAAAATAGCACTGAGAACTTTCAATCAACAAAAAAATATTTTGAGCACACTTTGTCTTTTCCAATCCTTCAGGTGATAGGCTATGCTGCATTTTCCATTAATAAAGGATGCGTCCAGAAAGGCACCTCATTTTTCTTTATGAAGTGGCCTTTAAAACCATGTTCCATTGTGGATAACTTTGTTCTAGATTGGTCTGCTTGTGTGTACAGAGAACTGCTCCAGATTGGGACAGGGATCCCTATCTGCGTCAGAGATATCCTCAGATATGGACAGGTGTGCCGCAGGCAGTGATGGGCCAATGCCCATGGGACTCACCTCAGGGGGTAGAGGTGTCCCCTCTTCTGGGATGCTATTGGGGGCCAAGGTGTGGACCCTCATGAAAGTGACAGATAGATGGTGGAAGCAGCCTCGGTGAGAGGCAGGAAACTGAAGACCCCCCGGGGTGAGAGGCTGGGAAAGGAAAGTTCCCAGATGAGAGCTGGGAGGGCCTGTCATTTTCTGTGGGTGGCTGGGATTAATAGTTACTGTATGTTCTGGCGTACAAGACGACTTTTTATCTCTGGAAAATCACCCCAAAAGTCGGGGGTCGTCTTATACGCCAGGTATACGCGTTGGGAAGGAGGAGAGGGAGCTGGTGAGCAGAGGCGCCCCTTCTGCTGTCGCTCCCCCTCCCTCCCTACAGAAGGGGATGCGGAAAATCCTTCCGAGCGTGGCGCTCGCTCGCCCGCCAAACGCCTCGCCTTGGGCTTCTGCTGCTGCGATGGAAGAGGCAGCGGAGGGGTGCGCGCTCTGTCCCTGGTGGCACTCAAACGCTATAACTCTAAAATTCTAAGACTGAACAGCAAAAGTTGGGGGTTGTCTTATACGCCCAGATGCCTAATACGCCGGAATCTACGGTACTTTGGCTAGAGAGAAGATTCTTCATTTGTGCACTACAGTGATACCTCAGGTTACACACACTTCAGGTTACATATGCTTCAGGTTACAGACTCTGCTAACCCAGAAATATTACCTCAGGTTAAGAACTTTGCTTCAGGATGAGAACAGAAATCGTGCTCCGGCGGCGCAGCGGCAGCGGGAGGCCCCATTAGCTAAAGTGGTGCTTCAGGTTAAGAACAGTTTCAGGTTAAGAACGGACCTCCAGAATGAATTAAGTTCTTGACCTGAGGTACTACTGTATTCTTTGTATTTTAGAGACAGTGGCGTAGCGTGGGGGGTGCAGGGGGGGCCGGGCGCACCGGGCGCAACATCTGGGGTTAGGGCAAATCCACAGGTTAGGGGGCGCAAATCCACGGGTTAGGGGGCGCAAATCCACGGGTTAGGGGGCGCAAATTACTTGCCTTGCCCCGGGTGCTGACAACCCACGCTACGCTACTGTTTAGAGAACCCGCTGCTGATTTTCTCTTCCCTTACTTTTTATGCTGTCTCTGTTGAGAATCTGTATTTTATGATCATCTATATTCTACTATGCATTTCTTCTTCTGAATAATAAAAAATAATAATCTAGAGCCAGTGTGGTGCAGTGGTTAGAATGTCAAGGTAAGTTCTGGGAGACCAGGATTCAAATCTCCCCTCAGCCCTGATGCTCATTGGGTGACCACGGGCCAATCACCTAAGCTACTTCTCAGAACTGTTGTGAGGAAAAAACAGGACAAGGAGGAAGAAGACCCATGCATGCCACCGAGATCTCCTGGAGGAAATGTGGGCTACAAATGTAATATTTAATATTTATAATATAATATTCAGCAAGGACCAGATGCAAAACCTTGCTGGGGTGGGATGCTTTTTGTATCAGTCCTTTTACACCAGATATCAAACAGATAAACAACTTTTTGAAGACATCTGCAGGTAGGCCTGTTCAAGGAAGATTTAATGGTTGATGCTTTATTGTGTTTTTAACATTTTGTTGGGAGCTGTCCAGAGTGGCTGGGACAGCCCAGTCAGATGGGTAGCATATAAATAATAAAAACTATTGTTGTTGTTGTTGCTGCCTGATTTTAGTCAAATGATGGCATCTCTCAGTACTGTGATCATCTTGTGCCTTTAAAGAACTAGACAAAAAAATTATCTTGCTGAACAGATTGTTTACTAAATGAATGAAATTCTTTTTCCGGTAGTTCAGAAACATCTTCTTGAAGTCAGGCACCACTGAATTCTTAAAAATTGTTCAACAACTGTGCCATTGTAGCAGAATTTACTGGGCCTATGAATAGCAGCAGGCACATGGTCTCTTTATAAAGATCCAGGAAAGCAAAGTCAGAAGAATGAAGATTGCAATGAATTTCTAAAATGACTTTGGGTGGATTTGTCTTTCCTGTAATTAAATTTACGTGAAAGCCAAATGGAGGATGAACATACAAACAGATCCAGCAGAATTCATCATCATCTGGTAATCCTAGAATTTGGCTTTCAGAGTGAGAAGTAATGCAACACCCTGAAACATATTGGGGGACTCATTCACAAGATGATCTTCCAGTTAAACCTCATCATGAGATGATGGGGCCGATAAAAAAACCAATAGCATAAATCCGCTGTACTCTGAAACAATTCCATTCATATCACTAAGTGAACCCATTGCTGTAGTCAGAAGAAGCAGGTGATACAGCCCTTTTGGACTGTTTCATGTCTGAGTGCTTCTTAGCTAACAACAACAACAACACCAAAACCCTACCTGCATATAGAAAATTAGCATGTTGGGGAGGTTAGAAAACCTTCATTGCTAGCTTTCCAAGAGCAAAGCGCTTTTGACATTAGGAGCAAACATCTGTTTATTTCCTATGGTGCTTCAGAAGATGAGTGTACCACTGGCTTTTCCTCAATGTGTAGATTTGCTCTTAGATCACAGGCTCATGGAGCTGTAAGATCCTTAGTCAACCTCCATGAGATGCAGCATCTACAATATAGGATGTGATTATAGCATCTCTGACAGACGGCAAGCAACCTTTACTTCAATACCTAGTGAAGGGCAGTACCTCACCTCCCAAGACAGCCTGATCCATGGTTAAACAGCTGTTACCACAAGGATGCTTCTGATCCTTTGCTGAAATCTAATTGCCTTCTAAACTGACCAATTCCCTGACCAAACTGCGGGAGGCAGTGGAAGACAGAAGTGCCTGGCGTGCTCTGGTCCATGGGGTCACGAAGAGTCGGATATGACTAAACGACTAAACAACAACAATTGCCTTCCATTTCCATACCTTGGTTCTCATCCTGCCTTCTGGAGGAACAGGAAACAAGCCTGCTCTAACTGTATGGCAGTTCTTCGATCTTTGAAGACAGCTAACCTTTGCTTCTCAAGACTAAACATACCCAGCTTTTTCAAAGTTGGTTTCCAGATCAGTCATCATCCTGGCCACACTTCCTTTGGACACAACGTCATCCTTAAAATGTGGCATCCGAAACTGGGCTCAGTACTCCAAATGCAGCCTGCCCAGAGCCGATACAACTTTGTTAAACATTTCTTGTTGGAAATAAATACCTTTGAAATCAATGGTATGTGCTTTGTAGTGCACTTAATTTGTGTCACATTGTGTGATGAGGACTGTGGCTTCTTTGAGGGTTGTGTGGCCTTTATGGATTTGTTTGTATGGAAAACAAAAGTAGAGAATACACCTGGTAAAGAGAGGGAATGCTGATGCAATTGCGAGTGAGTAGAATTTGAGGTCTGACTGGTTACGGACTCTGGAGTGGAAATGTTATTTGTGTCTCTTTCTAAAATAGATTGACGTACTTGATTGGGAAATGCTTTGTTTTACAGAATTGGAGCATATCAAAGATATACAAAAACAAGACAGACACTGGCTTATATGCATAGTTTGTTGGAAAGGGTATTAATTGGTGTTTAGTATATAGCAAGCAGTGGCCTATTCATTGTAATGAAGTTAGTAGTCTTTAGCATATTCAACCATCAGATGAACCAGAAAAACCAAAACACGGGGGGGTTTGGGTGTAGTCAAAACACATCAGAAGCACATCTGAATCTTGCTAACTTTCTACATTTTAATAGGGAAGAATCACGAGTTGGAAAGGAAACATTAGATGTGAAAATATCTCTTGAGGCATTTAAGCAAGGAACTTTACTCATTCAGTGGTTTCTTTTGGAACAGTGGACATGCTTTATTTCAATTTTTTTCACAATTTATTTAAACATCTCACATATACAAAATAGGTACAATTTGTTTTTGAGAAATGATGATTCCTTTTCTGCCCATTGTAGAGGATGAAAATGAGATTTAAAAGAACGGACACCTGATGTGGGAGAGAAATGAGCCACATGCTTAGTCTGGGGGTGAGATGGGACAGTCTGACTTTATTCCGAGACAGATTCCAAAGAAACAATACAACTTAATACAGAAAAGTGGTGTGTTTTTTCTTTTCTTTTCTTATCCAAATGACTCTAGCACCATTAAAGTTCAAGTATTGGTTATATACTCTATAAGACTGAATCAGCACCTTTCACTTACGCACGGGACCAAAAGCACCTCAGATCATATGTATAAGAATGTGGATCACACTTGGCTTGGAAGTGTATGAGGTAGTTCAAACCTTTGGAAGTTGTGGTTTTAAACTTCCTCTGTGGAAGATAGTCAAAGGCCACAAGTGGTGCAGACTTTCAGGATTTTTTTATTTGGTTTTTGTTTTTTTGGTTTTGTTTTTTTTACACAAAGGCTGACATTTTCCACAACAAGGTGACAAAATCTTGGGAAAAAAACACCTTCTGATTCCTTTTTGGGGCTGTATTAAATTGCATTGCACAACGTTCCAACAAATCCTTCTCCTCTTTCGCCCAGATTTTAAGCTAGTAGATGAACTGAAGAAATGGAAGGAGTCAGCTTTCAGTATAAAAGAAGAAATGGCAAAGAGAGAATACTTTTTTTTTTTGGTTTTGTTTTAAGTTAGTTTTAGTTCATTCATTTGAAACAGACTGGGCCAATGTCGATACTGAATTCTTGATCAGGGCCACCAATGTCCAAAGGTGCAATGTCAAGGATGGGCAAGCGAGATGGCTTGTTTGTTCTGTATTCAATAATTGTTGAGCCCCATTTGTTCGTCTTTCTCTGCAAGATAGCAATAGCAAATAGTAGTCAGAACAGTTATTCAGGCACCGATTGATCACTGTTTACCAGGGATCAATAGGAGTTCTACTTCACTTCCCTGCTACATACACCCACCAGTCCAACCCTCCGGCACATTTCACATCAGCTAACATGCCGGGGGCCTCCTATCTCCATCCCCATCACTTCTATTTTCCCTTCTCCTTTGAAGCACCACTGCCCAATTCTTGAACTAACACCACTCATGACATTTCCTTTTCAATCGGATGCCTGTACACTGGTGCTTTAGTAACAGCATTTTGAACAGGAGAGATGCACTCCAAACAGGCACTTTCAGCTTTTCTGTGAGTGCCCGCCATGTGTTCAGAGTTTTGCAAAAGACATATTTCCTGTTCACATTTTGTGAAAAATTGCCTCTGTGTGTGCAGCAAGCACTACAGTCTGGGCCTTCATCTAATGGGGGGTTTTATTGTAGAAAAGGCAGGGGAGGGATGAGATGGGTAGCACTGTACCAGTTAAACAGAGTTATTGCACAGGTCAACTAATTTATAGTCTTCGCTCTCCAGGAGTGCTAATTTTCTAAGGCCCATGTAACTGATACATGGTGGCTCTGAGTCAAGCTTTTCTTATAAATTATGTCTCTGACTACTGTGAATACACAGGTAGGGTGTGAAGCACCAATGGCAGTCTGCATGGACCTTGTGGCACTCCAGATATTTGACTCCTCTGTCACTAGCCAATGGCATAGCCAGCATGGCCCATGGTCAGAGATGACATGGGTTGCGGAGCTTTACAGGCCGAGGGAGCCAGCGTTTGTCCACAGTCAGTTTTTCCAGGTCATGTAGCCAGCATGACTAAGCCGCTTCTGGCGAACCAGAGCAGCGCATGGAGGCGCCATTTACCTTCCTGCTGGAGCGTACCTATTTATCTACTTGCACTTTGACATGCTTTCGAACTGCTAGGTTGGCAGGAGCAGGGACTGAGCAACAGAAGCTCACCCCATTGTGGGGATTCGAACCGCCGACCTTCTGATAGGCAAGCCCTAGGCTCTGTGGTTTAACCCACAGCGCCACCCGCGTCCCTTGGTGTTACAATAGGGAGAGATTTTAGTAGTGCCTTTTATAGGTGCTTGGAAAAGCTGAAGACTTACCTTGGATAAACAAAATAACCCTTAACGACTCCCAATTCTAACAAGTACATTAAGTGACCTGGCTCTTTAGGAGGGCAGTAACACTCAAAGATAGTGATAAGCAGGAAGAAACTGGTACTTACAGAGCAGCCGTCTTCAAGAACATTGTACATGAACCTGCCGTTGCCTTCAGCTCGGAGTTCGACATCGTTGGATCCCTGCACTAACAGAGCGCTCTTCAGGCTGCCTGTTTCTGCATCCATGTAAGCGATGCTGTTCTTGCAGTGGTAAGTGATGTTCTGGGAAGCATGGTTAGCCAGTAGTCGCATGAAGGCAAGTTGGGTGGCCATGTCCTTGGTGGTTACACCTTCCTCGTTGTACTCAAACTAAAAACGGAAGGGAAGGGGAAAGCTTCAGTCAAAAATCACACGCATATTATGAAATACATTTTGCACATAAGTCAACTTGGAACACCTTGGCCTCTGAAGGGCAAGGCAATTGGGGGGTGGGGCGGAGTACCACCAGCATTTGAGAAGAAATCGTCAGAACTTAAGTTTTGTCCAAAGCCACTGGGAAGCTCCAGGCAAAGCATCATGGCAAGGGGCCTCACTCACTGGCCAAAGAAGGAGGAGCAGCAGCAGCAGCAGCAGCGGGGAGTTTGTTTCCTCACCCCACTCAATCCCTATCCATGGCGATAATTCATGATGCTAAATGGAAGTTTGAGATTCAGAGGTGGTAGACTTGGGGTGGGAAACCTGTGCAACTCCAGATCTCATTGGACTGAAACTTCCATAATCTCCAGATAGTCACTATGGCTGGGGACAATGAAGGATTGGAGTCCAGTGAGTCTGGAGGGTCACAAACTCCCTGTATCAAAATGCATTTTCTGTTGGAAGCAAAATGTGGGAATAGATGGTTTGCTGGTCTGATCCAGCCAGGGAGCCCTTCTTATGAACAGGGTTAATGTATCTGTTGTGTGGATTAAAAAATAATCAGCGGGGCTTTTTGCCTTCCTTACTAGAATGTTTTTGGCCTTAGAGAACACATTTATCATAATGGATGCAGTATGGAAACTCACCTGAGTACCACCATTCATCATTTCTCCAAACCAAACGTGTTTCTTTTCGGCAGTGTTCTTGCTGGTGTACCAGTTCTTAGCTGGGAAGCTTTCTGGATTGGCATGGATGCAAGTCTCACCAGTGGAGAAGTCACAATAAACTCTAATGGCATCCATGGTGCAGCCTTGGTTAGGATCGATCCAGTAGAAGCCTATCGTTTTAAAAAGCAACAGTAAGCCCATCTTCATGTTAAATACTCACACTGCTGCAGCCATAGAAACAGTACAAGTACGGACAATACAGAAACCTCAAATCCCCCCTTTTTAAAAATCACTTATGTGGAACCAATAGTTATTGTTTAAATCTAGTTGTACCATTTATTAACTTGTTGATGTGAAGGGCTAAAAGTGGAGAGGAATTAGGTGTGGGGTTGGAACAGAAAAGAGGGGGAGATCCAGTAGTTTTAAATAAAAAGCCATAAGCCCTGATATGGGCTTATTTGGGGGGCGGGGCTGGCTGTGTTGATAAAAACAATTCCTGCAGTCTACAAGGAGAGATTTTATTATGCAGATGGAAAAATTTGATCCTCCATCTGTTCTTACCCCAACACAGCTGATAGAATTATGTGAGCGCGACACAGACAGTCTAATGCAGGGGTAACCAACACGATGCTCTGTAGATGCTGTCAGCCTACAACTCCCATCAGCCTCAGCCAGCACAGTCAATAGCTAGGGATGATGGGAATTGTTGTCCATCAACATCTGGAGGGCACAAACTTGGCTGTTCCTGGTCTAGTAGTTTGTCCACCTGCCTCTCCCTACTACTACCAAAAGGTTTCCCAGACAAAAGGAAGAATGGCAGCTGCATGGACAAATGGCACACACAGATTTCCATTGGCCACCCACCCACGAGTGCATTACATGGTCAGCAAGCCACTGGGTCAAGCATCTAGCACTAACATACCACTGGTCCATTCTGGGTGGCTGAGTCTTAGGTCACGGCAGGTGCGGGCTGGGTTCTTCCTGGAGCCTTCTGGGGTCAGGAGGGTCTCGATTTGGTTGTTCAATGTTTTCAGGGTGGCATCAACTTCATAGTCCTTGGGTCTAAGAGATGGCTGATCTGCCCGGTAGTATTCTGCATCATAGCCAATTTCGTATCCACCGCCATTGGGACCAGGTGGGCCAGGGTGGCCAGGTGGGCCTGGTGGACCCTAAAAGTGTTCAGAAATGAACATGCCTTTGTTGAAATCAAGTTCACTCGATTGTGCAGAAGGCCCAACCCCTGCTCCCCACGAAGAGCCTAAACACAGAGCAAGGTGCATCAAATGGCTCTTCTGGGGCGTGTTATAGAAGTGGCCCATGTTCATTAACCCTAGTGATGAGGCAGTGGATGCTGGACACCAAACATGTAGTCTTAATGAAGCACTCACTAAGCAAAGAGCGTGGACTCTTTCCCTGGTTCAGCATGACCACTGTCTTGCAAGAGTGAGGTCAAATGTGATATGAACACCAGACGATGGCCAAACAATGTTCCACATTAATTGAGTTTCTTCTACTTACATTGCATTTTGAAAATTTAATAACAGGCGGACTATATGGAACTGGCGGAAATGACCAGCAGAATCCGAGACCAGGGAGAAGAGTCGGTGGAAGAAGATTGGAAGAAATTTAAAGACTATTTACAGAAATACTGCAAAATTAATGAATGTTAGAATGATGTTGGATTGAAGTTAAGTGGTTTTCAGCAATAATGTTATAAAGATGTGTAAAAATGGATTGTTAACAGGGGATAATTTAAAGTTATAATATATTAAGATTAAAGATTAGGATAAAAACAAAGAGGGAAAGGATTTGCTGAACCAACTACCGTATTTTTCGCACCATAGGGCGCACCGGACCATAGGGCGCACCCAGTTTTTAGGGGGGGAAATCAAGAAAAAAATCTTCCCCCCCCCAGCCCCAAAGAGCAGCGTACAGGGTGCGCACAACCTCTCCCTGCCAGAGGGGTTGCGCGCAGCTATGGAGCAAGCCAAGTTTTGGCTTCCCCTTTAGCCCCATGCAGCCTCTCCTTGCCGGGAGACGCTGCACAGGGCTAAAGAAGCCATAGCCCCATGCAGCCTCTCCTTGCGGAGGGGTTGCGCGCGGCTATGGAAGAAGGCAAGGCAGCGAGCGGGATGGATCCCGCTCGCTGTTTTGCCTTCTCCTTTAGCCCCGTGGAGCCTCTCCTTGCGGAGGGGTTGCGCGCGGCTATGGAAGAAGGCAAGGCAGCGAGCGGGATGGATCCCGCTCGCTGTTTTGCCTTCTCCTTTAGCCCCGTGGAGCCTCTCCTTGCGGAGGGGTTGCGCGCGGCTATGGAAGAAGGCAAGGCAGCGAGCGGGATGGATCCCGCTCGCTGTTTTGCCTTCCCCTTTAGCCCCGCGCAGCCTCTCCTTGCGGAGGGGTTGCGCGCGGCTATGGAAGAAGGCAAGGCAGCGAGCGGGATGGATCCCGCTCGCTGTTTTGCCTTCTCCTTTAGCCCCGCGCAGCCTCTCCTTGCCGGGAGATGCTGCGCAGGGCTTTCCTGGCTTTTCTGGGAGGTGGGGGAATTCCCCCACCTCCCGCAAAACCGGCAGAAGCCGCGCACACTTTAAAAGGGCTGCACGGCTTCTTCTGGCTTTCCTGGGAGGTGGGGGGATTCCCTCAACTCTCGCAAAAGCCCGCAGAAGCCGTGAGCTCTTTAAAGGGGCTGCGCGGCTTCTCCTGGCTTTTCTGGGAGGTGGGGGAATTCCCCCACCTCCCGCAAAACCGGCAGAAGCCGCGTGCACTTTAAAAGGGCTGCACGGCTTCTCCTGGCCTTCCTGGGAGGTGGGAGAAGGGACTGATGCGGCCAGTCAGACCCTTCTCCCTCCTGTGGAAAAGCCCGCAAGAGCGCACGGAGCTTGTGTGCGGCTCTTGGGGGCTTTTCCCGCCTGCCTCCCCCCTGCATTCGCTCCATAGGACGCACACACATTTTCCCTTGCTTTTTAGGAGGGAAAAAGTGCGTCCTATGGTGCGAAAAATACGGTAATTGAACTGGATACAAAAAAGGGAGGTGTGAGGAGCTCCGGGGAACAGGCAAATGAAAATTAAGACATGGAAAGACTGAACTGTTTTTAACTGTTTTTATTTTGTATTTTTTCTTATTATTTTTTCTTTTTGTAATATTTTGAAAACCTTAATAATTTTTTTTGAAAAAAAATTAAAAAAATGAAAATTTAATAACAGGCACCGGGGGGGCCACAATTTTAACTGGGAATGCAGCACATAGTGGAGAAGAGGTTTGATGCTGCTCCCCCCCCCAAAAAAAAATCACAACTAAAATTCTGATCAGGGTTCTAACTTGTGCAAGGGGCCTATGTGAGGACCTCAGGGTCCCCTGCTGCAGACATTTGCCCTCTAATATGTGAAGGGTGGCAGGGATTGGCCAAGTGACATGACGGAGGGAGTGGAGATGGCATGCTCGTCCCTGCTCTGCCTCAGTTTCCCTCACATGTCTGGTAACTGTATAATGCCCAATTAGGGCTAGAAAGTCAAATAAAAGGGGAGCCTTTTCATTTCAAACATTTACATGGCAATCTTACATCTGTTTACTCAGAAGCAAGTCCCATTGTGTTCAGTGGGGCTCACTCTCATGTAGCATGCGTCTGGAATTGTAGAACTTAAGAAAATAATATTTTCTTTTTTATTATTGGTTAAATTTCTATACCGCTTTTCATCTGAGGATCACAGGGCAGTTTGCAATAATAATAATGATAATAATAATGATAATATGGTAACAAAAAAAAAACACCCAATAAATTAAAAATAAAAACCAAATACAAGTTTCTCAAACTAAATGCACTAATGACACATTTGCTTGGAGGTTTTGCTTTATTTTTTAACAATAAAGTGGCATATACATTTTATGAAATAGAATATAGAAGCACTGTCCTATGTAAGTTTGGTCAGATGTAAGCTTCACTGCATTCTTTGGGGCTTCCTCCCAGGAAAACTGCATAGGGTTGCAACTCAAGCCTGTAATCCTGTGTCGCGGGGGTAGCTGTTCAGGTGATGTGGGACTCCAACTCGCATCAGCCTCAGCCCATGTGGCAATAATCGGGGGGGGGATGCAAGCTGTAGTCCAACATTATCCGGAGGGCTCCACCTTGGCTACTCCTGCTATACACGCTTACCTGGGAGTTATCCCCACTGATTGCGGTGGCACTTCCTTCTGAGCAAACACAGACAGCCGGGTGCCGCTTGTGTTTAAAATTGATGGTTTCAGCCCCATACCCTCAGCATCCAGTTTCATACTTACAGAAGGTCCTTGGCTACCCTGAGAGCCACGCACACCAGCAGGTCCAACAGGTCCAGGAAGACCGTTGCGGCCATCTTTGCCAGGAGGACCAGAAGGACCTGAAGGGCCCTGAAGGAAGCAAGCAAAGAAACACCCACAGATTAGTACACCACCAAAGCAATGACATGTAGAAATATATAATCACTTTTTTCCAAACAACAACAACAACAACAACAATACTGCTCAATATCCCACACAAAGGGAGAGTGTTCACATACCCTTGGGCCAGCAGGTCCAGTAGCACCAGGTGAACCTTGGTCTCCATGATGACCCTGTTGAAAGGAGAGAGGTTTTTAAAAACATGACTTACCCCTGTATTGACTTCCATGCGGAATATTCATCCTTGCGCAAATGGCAAATTCATGGCGGGGAGAGAATATAATGGAGGGCTTATTTTGATTCTAAAATCTGTTTTCATTTTAAACAAATAGGACAGGGGTGCAGAAGGTAAGGAAACCTCTAGATGTTATTGAACCTCAACTCCCATCAGTCCCAGCCAGCCCAGGTAGTGGTCAGGAGTGATGGAAGTCGGAGGCTGAGGACATCTGAAGGACAACTGGTTCGCTGTCCTTATAACAGGATGTCCAGTCCCATCCCTGAGAAACAGGAAGTGATAATGACGACAAATATGCCACTTAGCATATATGGTCTCTCCCCCCCCCTCACTGAATAACCACCGCCTGCCCCCATGTATCTGGGCACTGGGGCAGGATTTCTAGATGGGCTTCAGTCATACACAACATCTCTGCTTCTGAGCATTAATTGCTGGCCTAATGGAAAGGAAATGCCGCCGACTCTGCAGAGAGCTGCTGCCAGGCAGTCGTCGATGTTGAGCTATGTGGACCAAGTCTCACTCCTTTTAGTGTGAAAAGGCAACACCACAGCGATAGCTCCTTCACACAGACTAATCCCGAAGGGCCTTGGAGCGTGCAACCAATGATACAGGGCACTGTGAATGTGCTGATGATCAGGGAGGCTATATTATGTCTGTTGCTGCTTCACCCCATTGTTTGGGCAACACACTTACAGCAATGCCGGGCAGACCCTGGAGTCCATTGTGTCCCTTGAAGCCAGGAGCGCCTCTGGGTCCCTTGTCACCAGGACCACCCTTCTCGCCACGTGGACCTGCTGGGCCCTGTGGAGGGCACAAAAAGGGAAAGGTGAAAAACAGAATCTTTGCAGGGAACTTTCCACTTGCAGAGTTTGTTTAGACACACACAAGTACGTTTGCTTTTGGAACATTTTCACGTCTAGAAAGCAGATTTACCTCTGTTTAAAAACAATTCTGCTGAGCAAGGACTGCGGCTCAAAATGTCTCAGGGTCCCTCTCCTTTTTACCAATCTGTTACTCTACCACTGATCTGGTCTAAGCAGGAACAGCCTGAGTCCTCGCTTGGGACCAGTGCTATTTTTCTAGAAAAAGAGGTGCTGGAACTCACGATGAATGCCTCCCTTGTTCTCTTAGAATGGCCATGGTGAACACCTGAGAGGTGCATGGTGAACACCTGAGAGGTGCTGGTGAGTTCCAGCTGAAGAAAAGCCCTGCTTGGGACTAGAAAGTTTCCTAAGCATTGGTTTTTGCTTATATCCAGCCTTAAGTCGTATAGCAGGTTGTGTCCATTTTGATGAGCCTGCATCTCAAAATTACTACACTCGACGCTTGCTTCCTCTTTGTCCTCAAAGGGCTCACAAGTCAATCGCATAAGGAATGGGAGTTAGGCTAGGTACCCCACCAGTGCAATCTTAAAACCTTTCAACCAAAGGGAAAGACCACTACCATATTCTAAACTTCCTACTCATGACAAAATTTCCCCATGATCTATACAACCCTCTGACTTGATTTCCAGAACCCAGATCTCCATTCCTATCCTCATCGTGGGCCTTCTTACCAAAAGGACATAATTACAGAAGCGAAACAAAATCAGAACTTACAGCAAGACCTCTTGCACCAGCAGGACCAGCAGGACCAGCAATTCCAACAGGACCCTGAAATGGTGACAAAGCACAGTTAGAGAAACTGCTCGCTGTAGATTGTGATGACAAAGCTCCCTTTCCTTGAGCAACAAAGGAATGACCCAAGGGTGGCTCAATACAATCATAATATGGACAAGAACAGGAAGCACAAGTGGTTCACACTTCATGTCCTCTGCGTTTCTTTTGGCCACAATGCCCAAAGTGTGACTTTAGGTAGTTCCCCCCCCCCTTCCTTCATTGGAAGCACATGCTAAGGGAAGAGCTGGGATAGTTCAGTGCATTATCAAATGCACTGAACTGTAAGTTCAAATCACTTGCACTGTTCACCAGACATGAAGAGAACACCCAAAGCCAGTCATAGCAATTGGCTGCTGGAATGAAAGAGCATGCATGGCATTTTCGGAAGGCCCTCTTTTGGGAGGTCTGGTTGCAAAGGGACTTCTGTTTCAAGGGAGCCAAAAAGTGTAACCGTACAGAGACTAATGCCACAGGGGGGAGTGGTGTGGCAGCTCAAAGCCGCTTGACAACAGGTTGTCTTCATTCATTGGAGACGAAATGGGAAGCGCACTGGTACCACATCAATGAGAATCAAGAAGGAATACTGTGATCCCCGCTGCTTTCTTTTTCAATGAATTGGCAGTAGTGGAATGTTCAGCGATACAGTAGAGGGTTTGGCCATAGTTTACAGGATGGTACTAGCCATTATGCCAAGTTTTTAGTAGAATAGGGCTCCCAGGCAAATAGTGGGCACCCACCATGCAGAAAACAGGGATGGAAGAATAGCACCATCCTACTAAGCTTCAGGGTTCACTAGGCTTCAGGGTTAACACCTGTAATTCCCTTCCTCATCACAACACAGAAGTGCAAGGGCCAGATTTTAGGTCTGAGAAAAGCTGGAAGCTGGAAGTCTTATTGATACAAGGAACAGAATACTCTTCTTATTGGACAGGATATAAGGGGGAAAATACTAGATGGGATGAATGGTAGTTAGGGGACTTGTGCATGTGATGAGAGGATGTGCTTTAGGAATCAGGCATTGAATGTAGACCAAAATATCATCATCATCATCAACGATAACGTTTCTCACGCTTTGGTAAGCCTTCAGGGCTCACAGCAGTAACAAAATTACCCCTCCATCTAATAACAAACTCAGCTGGTGATGGACAACAGCATAGCAATCCAAATGGGACCACTGAGAAAAGGAAGGTGCTGGTTTGTACAAACATATTTAAGATGCACCCTCGCTATAAAAAACCTGGCTTAATAAGGACTGAGCATGCTCAGTGGCCACACAATTCTAAGGGCCCATTGGAATCAGGTGCAATGGAGTACCCTAGAAGACAGCATGGCTGGCCAACACTGGACAGGAGCAGTCCACACTGTGATGTTCTGCAGTAAATCCCACTTGCCTGGTATCCAACACCCAACCCATTCAATAAGCAGTTAAGTCTAGTACAAAACTACAACAGGTCAACTAAATTCATAGAATCCCCACCCCTTCCTAAAGGTTTTGGCCAAGGTTCTCAATGCCACCAGGTAGACTGCCTGTAAGGGCTTCTCAGTGCGGGAGGCACCCATTGGTGGTGCAGTGGTTACAGTGCCAGACTAGGACCTGTGAGATCAGGGTTCAAATCCCCACTAGGAAACGAAGCTCCCTGGGTGACCTTGGGCCACTCGCTGCCTCTCAGCCTTACCTACCTCACAGGGTTGCTGTGGGCATTAAACAAGGAAAAGGGAAAGTCATGCATACCACCCTTGAGATCCTTGGAGGGAAAAGGGGCAATCAGTACACATGGCTTTCAAATGCAGCCCTGTTAGATTACACCTGACTTTTGATTTTATGAAAAGCATAGAAGTCACATACAGGTTCGCCACGATTTCCAGGTTTGCCAGCAGGGCCAACAGAGCCATGGGGGCCAGGGGCACCAAGAGCACCAGAGGGACCAGGGTTGCCAGGAGCGCCACGTTCACCCTGAAAAGATGAAGGCAAAGGACAAATGGAAGACCTTTCATTTTTTTTATTTGCATTTTTAATACAGAGACAGAAAAGAAAAACAACACATCCCACACCCCCTTCTGTCCACCCCCCCAGTTGTACAACTTTCATATCAATCTCGACATACAACTAAATACCTGGAGACTTCCCTAAATGGAAAACCTTTAGAAGTCCAAAGGAATGAGCTTGTAGCAAGCACAGGCTCACTTCTGCCTAGAGAAGGGGGAAACGCGATTACCTTGTAACCAGGAGTACCATCACGGCCTGGAGGACCATCGTTACCTGGATTCCCCTGTGAAGAAAAATATAATCTTAACATCACACACGACATGGGAAAAAAGCTTTACTTTACTGACAGGGGAATGACAGCATGTTCTGTACCTCCCTCCTGCCCCCAGCTCCAAATCACAGAACAGTTCCAAGTGGAATAATCTGTCACACTTTATTCTTCCATTGTGATTGTTCTCTCCCCCCCCCAAATTACTAGTTTCAGAGGGACGGATTCAGTTAATTTCTAGATTGTACAGATTTCCTAAGCAATTTAGACATTATAGAAACACATTGATCCATTTTTTTGCACTCTATTTATGCATTTCATTTTATTACAGCTTTATTTCATCAGACCAAAAGTAATGGAATGTTCTGAGAACTGTGTGATTTTAATGGAAATATTATTCCCCCCCTTCTTATCTTTTCATGTTATCATTTCTTCCTCACTGTGTACATGAAGGTAAAAACAAAAAACAAAAGGTAAAGGACACCTGGACGGTTAAGTCCCATCAAAAGGAGACTATGGGGTGCGGCGCTCACCTTGCTTTTCAGGCTGAGGGAGCCACATTTTCAATGGGCGAGTTTGGATAATCATATATTGGCTTAATAAACTACATTATGAGTGAGCCTTTTGGCCACACATGAAGCCCATTCACTCTTCCCTTAATGGTGAGGGGGGGGGGAGATGATTATATATCACCCAGAAAACTTAATTCCTGATTGTACAAATCAGGAAAATATGGCTAACATCTAAGGAACAAGACATCATATTAAGCCAATTTCAAACCATGGCTGAATATACTATCTTGCTCTAAAGCTGCTAACTGTATTTTTCAAGCCTACATGAAATGGGAAATTATAGTCAGTGGAAGATTTCCTGGTTTGTTTTCTCACTCGCACAAAGGGAGGAACAAAATGGCCAAGTGTACAGTTCAGACCTCACTTTATTAAGATGAGGCATGATTATCTGTATATGGTCATTGTGAGGTTTCCTACAATGGCAGCTAGTGGAGCATGGGGATGGATCACTTTATAGGATCAATTGCATTGCTGTCAACGATCTCCAAAGCACACTTCAACATGCAAAGTACATTACATCTGCTATCCTATTTGTGGATCCCACTTCCATTTCACTGAATTAAAAAATAAATCTCAAACAAACAAACAAACAAACAAACAAACACCTTCATGCGAAAGAAAAACAGCTGTGTTAAATAGCCTTCAAATGTGATTTTAAATGCTGCTGAAAATTTAGGATTCCACCTTCCCCACCTCTATTTTCCCCACTGTTATGACCAAAAAGGCATACTTACATCACGTCCAGCTTCGCCCTGGGCACCATTCACACCAGGGGAACCCACGGGACCGGATGGGCCGCGGGCACCTGGGGGACCAGCAATACCAAGGGGACCAGGCTCACCCTAAAAACAATAGCAGGGATACATTACATTGCTGTTCGTATACTTAACTAGCAAAATATTCAATACATCCTATTTGCCATTCATTATTTGACTACTATATAACTTTCAGCTGATGCTTGATGCTCTACAGCAGGGGTGGAAGAATCTTTTTAGCCTATGGTTACCAGATGTCCCCGCTTCCCGGGGACAGTCCCCAGATTTACAAATCTGTCGCGGGACAAAATCTGTCCCTGGAATGTCCCCAGATTTCATTTAATGTCCCCGGATTTATATTTTAAGCATTGTAGATTTATTAGTAGGGAATGAATGTTGCACAAGACACATCATATGGGGACTTCCAGCGAGGCAAAATGGCGGGCGCCACAGCAGTGAGCAGCTCCTGAAGCCAGCCGGAGCCAACTGCGCTACCAGGGGGAACTGCCGAGGGGGGACTGGGGATGCCCCATACGTCAACTGGAGGAACCGCTGGCATCGAGTCGGGAGAGCACCCAGCCAGTGACGCTCTGGGCCAGGAAAACCCTGGAGCCGACGCAGGGAGAAGGAGGAGAGGAGAAGGAGAAGGAAGAGAGAGAGAAGGAGGAAGGATAAAAGAGGGGAGCCCCGACCTTGCTGCACCACTGCCACCGCTGAGGAAAAGAGGTATAAGAGCACCGGGAGGGCAAGGACAGGTGGCCGAGACCAGGGCTAACCCGAGCCTACTCCACGGCGGCTAGAGCTCCAAGAGAGCAGGCCGGGGCCCAGAGGAAGGCCGTGCGACAGAGGAGATCACAGAAGAGAAGATATTCTTTTTTATTTATTTTTTAAAAATAACTTTTTGTCTCTCTTTAAAAAAAGTGTCCCTAGATTCTTTGAAAAAAATCTGGTAACCTTATTTTAGCCCAGACTGTTATCTCCTTACTCACCACCCACTGGTAGGCCAAGTTTGATGTCACAATGATGCCAGGTGAGGGGTTTTCTTATTGCCTGTAGGGGTCTCCAAAAGCCCCTTTCAAAGTGCTATTTAGCACAGTACTTTGAAATGGGCTTTGCAGGTTCTACCAGTCAGCAGTGCCTGCAGACTCCCTTTTCACCTGAGCCAGGTTTTTACCTGCCCAACACCAGACATCCTATAGGATGTTCTATACCACAGCTCAACAGAAGGCAGCTCTTGCTCATGATACATGTGCAGACTAAACTTCTGAGTCTGTTCCAGCTATGGCGGTGCAAGCAGGAGTTTCCACTGCCAAGGCAAAAACGTGATTGGTTGAACAGCTGACAGGGCAGGACCATATAACCGGTTCCCACTTGCCAAGCAACAGCCAATCCCAGACCTTCCTTCAGGGAATTTCTGGTACATGTCCTGCCAGAATGGTATAGTCACCCTCAGGAGGCAGCTAGCTTGAAGGCATCAGGTGAACTCCCACACCAGCATTGGTACCCAATGTCACATCCTATGAAACAGTGCCACAACGCACTTGTAGGAGCAAACCATGAGACAGAAGCGCACAACTCCAAAGGAGCAACTTTACGCTGTGTTTCTCCTCCAGGTTAAAAAAACCAAGAGTTCAGCATTGAATTTAGCATGCACCATCCTAATTCCAGACAAAGCATATCTGCCACCTAGCTGAAGACTTGGCAAATATGGTACTCACAAGTGATCCAGCAATGCCTGGGAGACCACGTTCTCCTCTGCTGCCAGGAATACCAAGGATACCAGGAGCTCCAAGAAGACCTTGAGGACCAGGGGAACCAGGGGCACCCTACACAAAGAAAAGAGCAGAATAAAAATTTCAGATCCTATTTACAGACTAGCAAACTTCCAACTTGTAACATAAATGAAACTGGTTCTTCCCATCTCCTTTGGCAACTTAATTTGATCTCAGATGTGCACGTATCTCTTCTGATGTACTCAGATTAAGGTTATCCAGCCTTCTTAAAGACAAATCAGGCAGCCTTGAAATCCTTATTCTGTTTCAGATCATCTTGTTTAAGTTTGGGAATGGGACTGCATGGCAATGCCAGAATAAGCCTAATGACCTCAAGAGCAAATCAAATTAAAACGTATTCATTATTTGCCACTTGCAGGGCCAATGAAACCAGCAGAAAGTGGGACTTCATGCTGCAGTTGCCACACCTGGAGAACGACTAGCAATTCTCAGTGGTGGTGTAGGCCAATGACATCATTGATCCATGGTGGATGCTAGCCATTCTCTAGGGGCAGCACCTAGAACCATGCACCCCCCCCACGTCTATCAAGTGATGCCCTTTGGTAACAGGCACTGATTCCTTCCTTAAATTGTCCAAAAAAGGCTATTGACCTTATGGTTGTGAATTCAGCCAAGTGGCTACAAAGATTTAGCTTAGAATTTGTCGAGACCAATTTATATGCACATCAATACTTTTGTACTATTTGATGCAAGGACAGATATTTTCAAAGTCTTCACTTAAATGCATTTTTTCTTTTTTTAGACTATTCACAAGAGATTTGGGGGTGTGAGCCACATCATCATCCGGTGCAATGGGCAATCCATTGTGTCCAAACATTTTGTGGAATTCTTGCCCTGACTACCATGGAAGGTTGAAAGTTGACACAATGCACAGAATTCTGGAGCCCTAAATATTGAAAATCAAGATTATATATCTCCTTGACTTCATCCTGCTACTTAGGGATGGGCTCGTATAAATAAAACAACTTCAAATAAATAAAGGTTGAATAGGACCTTGCTGAAAGTAGTCCTACTGAGAGCAGCAAAGCTCATGAAGAAAGTGACACATTCCCCTGAAGTAAAAAAAATGAAGCAGAACTGGACTCAGAGAAGCCATGTCACTCCGATCCAGCAGAAGACCTGAATGGTATTGATGCATTGGTTTATATCTGCATGTACTTAAAAGGGAGATTCCTATATGCTTTGAAGAACACACACTCATGGGCTGTGTTGGCTGATGTCTGTATTTCTGAGAAATACGGCAAGAATGACTAACACAGCCTTGGCCAACCTGGTGCCTCTCTCCAGCTGTTATGGACTGAACTTCCATAAGCCCCAGGCAGCATCACTGTGCTGGCTGGGGACTGATGGGAGTTGTAGTTCTGGAGGGCACCAGGTTGGTGAAGGCAAAACTAAGAACTGGTATTCGGGCATGACTGATCTAAACCGTTTTTAATTCTGAATTTTACCTTGCTGAACAATGGGTAATAATAATGATAATGAAAATGGTGAAAAGGAAGGAAAATGAATTATTTGTAATAACTTACAGCAGCACCACTTTCTCCACTTGGACCTTTCTCTCCACTGAATCCAGGTGGCCCAACAATACCAGGTTCACCAGCACGGCCAACTGGACCAGTGTCACCACGTTGGCCTCGGATACCTTCTTTGCCAGCTGGGCCAGGAGGGCCAGGGGGACCAGTGATGCCCTAGGGATAAAGTAGACAGGTAAATAAATGCCCATGGTTACGTTGCTGGGGTAACCAGTTCACAGAGAGCAAAATATTAAACCAGATAGCAAAGAACTGACAAAAATTCTTGGTGATAAACAAAACAACACCAACACCACAGCAACAACTAATCTTGGTGGTGGTGATTTTAACCATGCAGGATTACAACAAGCTTGCTCCTGAGGATCACATGGAATCAATGGACTCCTTTCGTCGAGGTTTCTATATACAGGGGACACTTTCCACAGCGACTTGTCCAGTTGAGGAATTCCAGGAGCTCTGCCATAGAAACTTTACACATGGCGCAGGATTCTGGAGCATGTTCTAGCCAAGGATCAGTGGTATATGACATGCAAATGTGTACAAGAGAACTCCAGGAGCACACTTCAATTGAGAGCAAGTGTTAGGATGGACAGGATGGGACAATATGGAGTAAAGAGTGAGGAGGAATGCTTACATCCCCACCCCCATAACTTTACAGGAAGCTGGTTAATCCAGCCCCTCTCCAGCCAAATGTTAAGGCAATATTTTTGCGAGAGAAAAGTAGTATGGAAATTTGTGGGTGGAAAAGCAATTTCAAAGAGGGGGGATTTCAGATGAAAAGAGGCTGTTGGGGAAGGGTCAAGCAGCCTCCTACCCAAATTCCCTTCTTCCAGTGCTGCTTTGAGTAAAGGAGAGAGGAGTTTTCTTAGTCACATTCATTCATATGCACTGTATAGATAAGCCTTCTGCTAATCCAGGGTTTTGGGAAGGGCTGTTGAGCCCAATTGTCACCGTGTTGTGTACTCAATGGCTGCATATTTGCTGGAGAAGGTTGGTAGTGATGGATAACTTTCAGAGAAGCTTGCCCACTACTTCAGATCTTTTCGAACAACTGTTGACAAGGTTCCAAAGAACTCCAGTTATCCAGGATCGTTCTTTGCAAAGAGGAATTAGAAGCACCAGACGCTTTATGTCTTCTACCTTGTTTAAATTTACAGATGGAGTGTTCTCAATGGCTACTTACAGCGGGGCCAGGGGGTCCGGATCTTCCAGCAGCACCAGGGAAACCAGTGACACCCTGTTGGGGGGAAAAAGATCAATGAAGAGATCAGGACTTACAAGGACCAGTAGGAGGGTGGATGTAGGAGCATCAACATAATAAGTTTCTACACTTACAGGTGGACCAGAATCACCACGACCACCAGTGGGACCAGCAGGGCCAACGGGACCCTATATACAAGAAGAAAGAGTAGGAAAAATGAAGATAAGTAGAGTACTGCAAAGTTCCAGCTGTCAAATATTGGCTTGATCATGATTGGAGTTAAAAATTAATGAAAGCTATGCTACTGACTTATTGAAAGGAGGATCAGACACTATTTCATACTCTAATGCAGGCATGGGGAACCCTGTGGCCCTCCCAGTGATGTTGGTGTTGGGACTCCAATGAGCCAATGTGATGGGATGATGATGGGATTTGTAGTCCAGCAACACACCACTACTTTGTAACAGTAGTCATAACGTGGACAAGACGCCATCCCAAAGTTGCTAACTTGGTTTTGAAGAGTGTTGACATTACCACTACCTCGAACATGAGATAATTTTTCTAAGAACAGTGGTGGTTCATATGCTACCAACCACAGGCAGAAAAATTAACATACGAGTTACAGTGTTCAGTCAGTTGTTGTTGGCACCCATCTGTCTTGAGAGACAATAGAGGAGTGCGCCATTGGGGGTAAAGTCAAACTGCTGGGAAGTTACAGCGCCTGCTGTGGCTGTAGAAACCAATATGGGAGAGACATGTTTTGTTGCAGCTGGGACAGATGAAGGCGGCTGGTTTCGCTGCACCACAGCATTTCTTGTCTCTGCACTCCTTCCAGCAGTCATTTTAGTTCAGTCAGTACTCATATACTCTTCAAAGTACTACTCTTCATTCAATGAATTGATAGTGCTTATGATAATTTGATTATCAGTGATATACCAGGAGTGCTAGTAAAGATAAAGGGACCCCTGACCATTAGGTCCAGTCGTGGCCGACTCTGGGGTTGTGGTGCTCATCTTGCTTTATTGGCCGAGGGAGCCGGTGTACAGCTTCCGGGTCGTGTGGCCAGCATGACTAAGCCGCTTCTGTCGAACCAGAGCAGTGCACGGAAAGGCTGTTTACCTTCCCGCTGGAGCGGTACCTATTTATCTACTTGCATTTTGACGTGCTTTCGAACTGCTAGGTTGTCAGGAGCAGGGACCGAGCAACGGGAGCTCACCCCATTGTGGGGATTCGAACCGCCGACCTTCTGATCGGCAAGTCCTAGGCTCTGTGGTTTAACCCACAGCGCCACCCGTGTATGTCAAAACTCCTCTGGAAATACTGTACATACACAATCTACCCAGAAAGATGGCCACTGGTATTGGTTCCTTACCACCAATCTACAGCATATTAACTCTTTGAAAATAGCTTATAAGGAAGGAGTAAGGACCACGTAGTTGCTGCTGGAATACAAGTCCCATCATTGCTGACCACTGGCCATGCTGGAAGGAGTTGATTGGAGCTGGAGTTCATCAACATCTGGAAGGCCACAGATTCCACACCCCTGCAAGGTTTACCTAACTCCGAATTCCTCCAAATGTAGTGCCGAAGGCAATCTAGACCTTTTGGGACTGGCATGCTTTGTTCCTGCTCTTTGGGAAAGATTTAGGCACTTCACAAGTCAGCCTAACAGTAATTCTAGATTTGAACCACACAAGCATTCTGCTTCACAGCTATGCAATGGGCTTATGGATGTAGCACTATGAAATCCAAAGAGACTACACAGTTTGATCAGAAGGTCATTAAAATTCATTTGACTTACAGAGGGGCCAGAGTTGCCAACAGACCCGACAGCACCTTGTGGGCCTTGTTCTCCTTTAGGTCCTCTCTGGCCTCTTTCACCTTTAGCACCGGTCTGACCAGCTGCACCCTTAAGAAGTCAAGAGGGGAGAAATGTTACTCAAAATACATTATAGCCCCAAACTATTAAAAGCCACGTGAAAGCCAATCTTTCCCTTCATACTTACAGGAGGGCCGGCAAATCCAGGAGGACCAGCAGGGCCAACCTCACCACGTTCGCCCTATGGCAGGGGAGGAGAACCAAAACACACCCCAGTGAGAAAAAATAATCGCCATTTCATATCAAAGGTTCCTAGAACCTGTTCATGTCACACTTTTAAAAGAAACTATTCCACTACTTACAGAACTTCCACGAGGACCAGCGGGGCCAGCGGGGCCAGCGGAACCGGCTTCGCCCTAAAACAAACACAGAAAGGATTTGTGTTGCTAGGATACGGACCAGGCCACCTTCTACTGCAACTCCATGGCTGAAGGAAGAAGCATCTACCCATCAGCCTCTTGGTGATCCACTGATGCAACTCAAACCATCAGGTGCCACAGGCAAGAGAGCAGGTGCATCGCAGCAGGGTGCCTTCAGAACAAATTGATCCCAATGGCTTGGGCATGAGAGCTGAGCCACAAACAAGGGATCAATCAATCAATCAATCAATCAGTCCCAAGGCACTTTTGGCTAGTTTGCCATATTTCACCTGCCAGATCCTGAGCAAAACACATTCACTGCATTTTCTAAATGGATATGAGGAAGAAAGGTAAGTTGAACTCATTGGTGTTCTATTTAGGCCTTGTAAAAATGTGTTCTGTCCCCTAAAAGTACAGCCCAGACTCCTCATTGCCTCTAAGACAAAGATACTGAGAATGTCCCTCCAGGTGTTGTCTGCCCCATCAGCCCCAGGCAGAATGGTCTGGGTTGATGTGAGATAGAGTCACATCTGTAGGGCCACACCTCCCCATCTCTGCTTTAAGACTATGTTAGGGAGCCCAGCTTGGAAGATATAAACAACTCATTAATAAACCAGCTAAGTCACGGTCACCCAAACCTGCCTGCAGCCTGAATTAAAGGCTCAACAGACAGCACAGCCTCCAAATATATTAAGGGCCTTCTACCAGTGCATTGAACTCAATGGGCATGATGAACTTGGGTCCATTTATTTCAGCAGGTCTGATCTATTATTATGTATAATAGCAATGCTGTGTTTTAGTTGTTGTAACCTACCCTGGAACCTTAGGGCAAAGGGTGTGTAAATAACAACAACAGAGTAGGCGCAATGCCATCTTTTAAATCCTTTCCCTCCAACATTTTTTTAACCATGTTTAACTTCTTTTCAATCAAATAATGGCCATGAATTCAAAGTGCCATGTTAAGGATGTGCAAGCGTTATTTGCACTGAAGGCTCCTATGCCATGACAAAATGGTAGTTGTTTGCCTTGTGATCTTGGTGTCGGGGGAAGCTGCTGTTTGAAAAATATAAGCCAAATAACATCTCTCTGGGTGCACCGTATGGAACCAGTTACACCATTCATTAGATTTCCAGTCATTGGTCTTGACTGCAGATCTTAACAGATGTAAAACCATACAGACACAGGTAAAAAGCCAGGTAGCCATGCAGCCTCCACTTATCACCCAAGAAGGGGGAAAATAAAATAAAATCATGAAATGTACAGTTCAAGCCTTCAATTTTAAGTGTGTTCAAGCAATTGTCCTTATAAGCCTTCACCTAAAATGGCATGAGAGCAAGGAGCCCCAAATGGCCATCGTGCTCTTGTGGGGGGGAGGGACAGGATGTCCTGTTTTTTCCAGAGCAGTTGACTGGTATATTTTACTAGGGATGTTCCCTTAACCATTTCATTTCCTGGGGAATATTTACATCTTTAGGGAGTTTTCTGAAACATGAAGAAGAAGAAGAAGAAGAAGAAGAAGAAGAAGAAGAAGAAGAAGAAGAGGAAGAAGAAGAAGAAGAAGAAGAAGAAGAAGAAGAAGAAGAAGAAGTTATATCCTGCCTTTTCCCCAAACTGGGACTCAAGGCAGCTTACAGATATAACAGAAAAAGCTAAAAACATAGAAAAGATAATCATTAAAAAGCAGTTAAACACTAACAGAATTTAAACTAGATGGACAGATCTATTAAAAACACAGATAACAACAACAATAAAAACAGCACAGCACCAGCACCTTCCTTAAAAACAGCCAGTTCCTAAAAGCCTCTTGGAATAGGAAGGTATTCACCTGCTGGTGGAATGACAACAAGGAGGGAGCCAGTCTAATTTCTATAGAAAAGTCTGAGAGCATAAATATGGATTAATCTAAAGCCAGGGTGTTGACCCTGTCGCCCTCAAGATGTTGCAGAACTGCAACTCCCATCAGCCTCAGCCAGCACAGCCAGGGAAAGATAATAGGAGCTGTAGTTCAGCAATATCTGGAGGATGACAGGTTCCCCATCCCTGATCAATGATTTAGGCTGCAATCCTATACCCACTTATCTGGGAGCAAGACCCACTGAACTCTGTGTAGACGTGTGCAGGATTGCAGTGTTAGAGTTGAGTCAACTGGGCCTAGTGTAAGAATGGGGAACCTGGGGCCCTCCAGATATTTTTGGACTACAGATCCCATCATCCCTGACCATGATGGTTCAGGTTGATGGGAGTTGGAGTCCAAGAACATCTGGAGGGCCACAGGTTCTCCATCCCTGGCTTAGCAGATAGCATATATGGCAAAACTGGATTCAAATCTTCACTCAACCTTCGGCTGACTGTGTTCTTACGGGCATGCCATTTATGTTCATTTCTCCATCTGTAAAATGGGACTATTAATAACCACAGATGGTGAATAAGATAATTACTAGGAGGCTCTTTGAACAGGAAGAAACGCTATAGGAATAAGCAGCGCTTTTTTCTGGGGGGTATGCATACCCCTAAACATTTTGTGAATCTTTGTACTTTTGTCCATTTCCTGTATTTATTTTTCCAGATTTGAACTATAAAGTGGTGATTTTCTTGAGTCAAAATGAGAGCACCCCTAAACATTTATTTAAAGAAAAAAAGCACAGGGAATAAGGAAAAAATAGGATGAGACCCAATGCGTATGACTGCACTGTAGATATTGTTTTAACTTTCTCTGTTGTGTGTAACTTTTACCTACCACTAAGATATTTTAAAATATGAAGCGGATTATAAATGCTTTCACACAAACGAACATCTTGATATTTTCCCCATTGTGTTTTATTTGGATGCTGTAACATTGGAGGAGTGAATCTCACCCACAAGAAGCTGCCTTATACCACTAGATTGGTCTATCTAGCTCAATACTGTCCACACTGACAGCCAGGAGATAGTTCAGTCGGTAGAGCATGGGATTCTGGATCTCAGGGCCGTGGGTTCGAACCCCACATTGCCCAAAAGATCCCTGCATTGCAGGGGGTTGGACTAGATGACCCTCGTGGTCCCTTTCGACTCTACAATTGTATGATTCTGATCCAGGGGTTCTGTGATCCAGGGTTTCAAGCAGGAGTCTTTCTCTAGCCCTACCTGGAGACGCACTGAACCTGGGACTTTTACATGCAAAACACATGCTATACCACTGAGCGATGGCTCCTTCCCATACTAAATGCAAACCTGCTAAGCATCCGAAAAGTCTGCCACTTACTCTTTCGCCAGTACTTCCAGCAGGGCCAGGAGCACCAACTGCACCAGGAATACCCTGAAAAAAAATCAAGCAGAATTACAGGTTTGAATCTAGGGTGCTTTTTCTCCCCATGTTAAACCCACACCAGAAGAAAATTATCCAAGCTATGGATAAATTGCAGAAATGAAAAAACGACACATTTCATTTTTGTTTTTTAAAAAGGTTTTGTATTGTTTTCAGGTTTTTTTTTGTTAATCCAGCATCAGAAATCAATGTAATACGGTAGTTGTCCAAAAAAGTTGCATTCACTTCCTTAATAATACCAGTGACATATTTTTAAGACCTTCAGTGATCTAAACTTACTTCAGGCTAATATCACTGAAGGTTAAGGGTCTGGGTGCAGAATTAATGGGCTATGTATTGGGACCTAAATCCAATTATTTTTCTCTCCTCCTCTTGATTACTAAAAGGACTGAATGCTTGGCTCCTAGGAAATAAAGCAATTTAAGAAGTATACTTACCCGTGAACCATCTCTTCCTGAAGTTCCGGCTTCTCCTCTGAAGCCTGTTGGACCCTGAAATGAAGCAGGACACAGCATGAATTCTGAGCCTCACTGTCTAATTCAGAGGTTTTCAACCTTTTTGAGTCCACGACTCCCTTAACCAACTACATTCTTTCTGTGGCACCCCTGTGGGGTTCAGGATCCCAGTTATGTCACCCTTTGCCTGCAGAGCCGGCAGCCCCTCACCCTTTTTCAAACACCCTCTGTTGTGGAGTGTTCCCTTAGCCCTCTCCCCTCTCCTTGGGAGTCCTCTATTATTTCCTTATTTTCATTTTTCATGTCTGTTGCGTCTTTATTTTCTCCCCCTTTGCAACTACCAATGCTCTAGGTTGCCAGTGGAGATAAAAATCCTCTTAGTTGTGTCTTCTGCAGATGGAAAAAAACACACCCCTATTTTTCTCCATTTTTACTGAATCCATAAACCAGACAATTCTAATATCAATGCCTGGAAAAGAAATGGGATCCATACTAACCAGAGAGTTGAATGTTACAAACACCTCCCAAAATACCTCCCAGTGAACTCAGTTCATCAAATAATTATTGCTAGCTCCCTCAAGAGCATCTAATATTTTTTTTATTTTAAAAATCATGAATAACATTATGAAATGAATTTTAAATGTAGCCAGCAGAAGGCATGCTTTTGTAGACAGGAATGGAAGTGTTTAGCACTTGCCATTACCATATTTCCCACTAAGCCAATTGCTTGCAGATGCCTATGATGTAGCGTCCCTGGAAAACACACTCTCACTCACATATGTACTCAGCTTTGGGTCTTGATAAACTAAACCAGAATAATAACAAATTAATTGACAGAATTAAACTTGCGGATCACTTATTACACAGAAGGTTTCCAAGTGACTTGCCGCATATGATTCTAAGCCAGGAAAACTGAGCCTAAGACTTCCTACTCCAGCACAAGTGCTTCAAATGGGGTCTCTTGATTACTATAGCTACTCAGGGACCGAACCTGGGGTCATCAGCTTACAAAGCATGGGCAGAACCACTGAGCAGCCACAGCCTTTCCCCACCGAGGAAGACCTTGCGATTAAAATACACCAGGGGCGACTTTGCGGATGTGATGAATTGTTGCTCAGGAATCAGCTTGCCTCTTATTGGCCTTACCTTTTCGCCTTTGCCTCCTGGGACGCCAGCAATACCTCTCTCGCCAGGCATTCCACTGGGACCAGCTGGGCCTGGGGTACCAGCAGTACCAGCGGTACCAGGTTCGCCCTAGGAGAACAGGAAAAGAAAGATTCAATCTTCAAGAGCCCTAGGGGGAAATGAGCCACATGCTTCATTGTGCCTGCCTGCGAATAGCTGCTTGTTAGTATTCTGAAAGGTACTGCATTTCTGAATACTGCTGGGGGGGTGGGATACTCTCTGCAGTGGCCGCCCAGGAGTGGAGGTGATGTTTCTTATCCCGTGACATTCAAACGATCCATTCTCCAAACATGCAGGTAAAAGCAGCTGAATACATCCTAAGCAGAAATGTCGGGTTTGGGATAGGTCTGATTAAAATGGATCGATTTGGAGGATGTCTTCTGGGTGTTCAAAATTAACCCGATATGAGATTGACTTCATTATCATCTTAGCAGCATCAAGGGATGCCAGGAACCATGTCAATTATATTTTCCAAGGGTTGTATCTAACTAAGCTATACTCACCATTGAAATTGATGGGCCTAAGCTGGTCATGCCCTTTGTTTTTATTGGGTCTTCTCTGAACAGGAATAACCCCTGAATAGCTCAGTCAGTAGAGCACAAGACTCTTCATCTCAAACCCCACATTGGGTGAAAGATTTCTGCATTGCAGAGGGTTGGACTAGATTACCCTCATGCTCCCTACCAACTACGATTCTAAGAAATCTATGAAACACTGGATACAGACATGTGCTTTCTGTCATCCCTGCAGCGACATCCAGGGCTTGAAACCTGATGGGCAACTGGCAATACTTTTCCAGAGACCCCTGTGTGCTGCTACCACCCCTCAATTTGATTAAGGGGTAGAGAAACCAAAAATAGATCCATTACAGGTTGACCAGGACTCCAGATCCAGAATCAACGGGCAGGGTGGAAATTTGCAGAAATCAATCACAGAGCATCCCTGTACATGTCTGGACTCTGCCTCATCACGAATGCTGCAGTGAAAAGTGTCATCCTAACAGGGGCGTAGGAAAGAGCGGGGGTGGGGGTGGGGCGGTCCACCCCAGGTGCCATCATGGAGTGGGGTGACAAATTAGCAAGGAACAATTACTGCCCTACTAGGGCGGTACATAAAAAACTTTTTTTAAAAAATGCCTGCTCCAAAGGTCATATCTTACTACACTAGGGATTATATACTACATATGAAATTTCATGCATATCAGTTAATATCTTGACCCTCCTCCACGAAAATAGCTGTTTACTTGGCCGTTTTCCTTTGTCATGAAGGCTGAACTTTCAACAAAGCCTTTGCTAGATTCTTTTCGGGCACCTGCTAAAAGCATTCTTCTTTAGGCAAGCATACCTAGATGCTTAGGAAGTTGAAGTAATTTTAATCTTAATATTTTAGCTTGATTTTTTCTTGATTTTACTGCTGTGGTTTTCTGTGTTGTTTTTTGTTTTGTTTTGGTAAACCACTTTGCAGGTTTTTTAAAATAATTTTTATTAAATAGATAAACAATAAATATAAATAAAATAACACAAGCCAAAACACAATCCATCCTGTAGATTTAAGTATCTGTCCATAGTTGCCTACTTGTTATCAGAGGCTCAGAATCCACATTCCTTTGGAAGAAAATATGAAATAACAAAACTATTTTTGCAGGCAAAACACACACACACAAAATGTGTGTGGGGGTGACAAGAATTTTTCTGCACCGAGTACCACCTGACCTTCCTACACCTCTACATCCTAAAGCCAGAACTAGTAAGTATATATGAAGCTGCAACTATGCCACAAAAGCAGAAGAAAAGGAAGGCTCAATCTCTGATCTAGACAAAGCCACATGACTGACAAGCTCCAGATACATAATGAGGATTCCAGGCCATGTTCATCTAACAGCATCCTAACCCAACCCCTACGCAACAACCTCATTTGAAATTTAAGAGGATGTTCTAAAGCACCTATTAATGCCAAATAAAAAGCTGCTACTTGGTCAACAGCAGGCTTGTTGACAAGCTCTTGAGTTTGCCTCTGGTGGGTTCTCTGTATCACAGATGCCCTTTCTAGAACAAGGGTGGTGAGCACCTAGCCCTTCAGATGTTGGATTACAACTCCCTTTATCCCTTGCTGGCTGGGACTGGTGGAAGCTGCAGTCCAGCAACATCTGGAGGCCTGCAGGTTGTTCATTCCTCTTTTAACAGTTACACTTCTGACAACAATGACTTATACCTAAGCCAAAAATACCCCTATGTGACCACTGCACCCTTCACCGATAATGCAAAATCTTAAAGGCAGCAAAGCAGCAGACATGCTACACACACCAGGCACACATGTATATGGGAGGTTTCCATCAGGCTCCGGCTAAGCGCTTGCATCAAGGAGATGACACTGCCCTCCCCAGGATTTCAGAAAAATAGCACCCTTTTTGCCTTACCTTGTTACCATCAGTTCCTGGTGGGCCGGATGGGCCACGGCTTCCAATGGAGCCTACAGGACCTACAGCACCACTTTGACCTGGAAGACCACGCTCACCCTGGAGGAAGCAGATGGGCAAGAAGTTAATTGGAATCTGAAGGCCTTGAATTTTGATAGCAAGCTTAGCATTTAGCACTGAAACCTGGAAGATGTTAGTGGTACCACTATTTTTTGCTTCTTCGCTCATACATAGCTGATGAATGGGATCTAGGCTTAAGGGCAGGCCTTGCTCTTCTGCAGGAGTCCTGCATCTAAACAAGAACTCAGAGTGCTGCTCTCTAGATGCAGACGCATTATTGACAGCCCAGTTCCAACGACACCGGGACAGAAGGAAGTCCCATTGGTTTCCATGGGACTCACTTCTGAGCCAGAGTGCTTAGGAGACTATCCCTTTACTTGGCTTTATCTCTTGGTCCAGAATTCAGTTCCTCCCTGTCAATATAAGGACATCAACTTGCAACTCTGCATATCCTATGCATTTTATGTATGCATGCTATATTCATGCAATATTTTACAATTTGATAATGCGCTATGCATGCCATACATGCATATATAAATTATACTGGACACCGAACACATTAACAACACTTAACAGATGCAGCATTAACCGTATTATCTCATTATGTGTGTTGCTGTCCTCTGTAAAAATCTTCAGAAGGTGAAAATGTGGTTTAGTGTATTGTAGGCGGAAGATTGGAAACGGCAGCCTTTCCCTTGGGAAATCTTCCACAATGGAGATGAGGCATAGGAACCCAAGAAGCTGCCTTATATAGAGTTAAGCCATTTATCTCAGCAGTGTCTACTCCGACTGGGAGCAAACCTCCAGGGTTTCAGACAGGGGTCTTCCCCAGCCCTATGTGGGATTGCACCTATGAAATTCTGCATGCAGAGCATGTGTGTTACCACTGAGCTGTGGTCCTTTCTCCCAAACAGAAACCCACCCCAATAGCAGTGGTTATTCAAGGGTATTCTGAACGCATCTTTCTTAGTTCAAAGGCAGGTATTGCAGACTTTAGGAACAAAGCAAAGCACAGTGAAAAATAAACTTACTCTTGGACCAGCAGGACCAGCAGGACCGAAATCACCATGAAGACCCTATGCACAAAAGAGAGAAAGAGAGAGACAGGTTACGCTTAACTTTGAACGTGTTTTCCTTACTGTCATTTTAAGAATTATTATAGCTACCGACTGAGGTTATTTCAATCCAGTGAGATAAAAAAGGAGATGCACATTTTGATCTCAAAACTGTGGTGCAGCAGAACGTAGGGCTCAAGCCACAAGAGAGAATTTGACTCTGTTGTTGTGTTCCTTCTCGTTCTCTCTCGCAGGCTGGCAGACAACCTCACAGGGTTGTTGTGAGGATGAGGAAGAGACCAGCCATGCACACCACCATTTGAGTAATGGCGGGATAAAAAACCCGACCGATGATCAATAAAGGTGACATATATTTTAAATCTGTGTGTATTCACAGGAAGAGGGGGAGGGAACCTACCAGTTAACTGATTAAGTGGCCATATTTCTAAGGGTAATATTTTTTTTTTTTTAACAAGAGTGGTTTCCATGCTGCTGCGCACTGTGTTATCCATATCCACAAGCCAAAAACAAAGGAGCCAAGAATGTCCAGTTGGTTTGAGCAACACAGGGCAGGTACACTGAATCAAATTAACTTCCCCCTTGGTTTGAGAGGGGAATGTCAGACAAACCATGCCGAAATATTCCTACAGTGTGCTGTAAGCACTGACCATGCTGCCTTAGGGTTACATCAGGGAAAATGTAAAGGGCCATTGCTAGAACCACAGCACAGGCACTGCTATGGAGCTTGTCCCTACAGAGGGAGCCAGAGACATTCCCTCATGCCTCTTTAGAGGAAGTATGCCAACCTGCTTTTCTCCTGGTCACAATGGACACCTGCGTATGAGAGATGGGCTGCAGGATTTCTCTCACTGCGCTTAGACAGGCACAGACTTTCTCTCTGTTACCCTACCAAGATTTGGGGCACTGCATTTGTGTGGTTCGGAAAACCCCCACATCTTATCCAGAAATGTATTGTGTTCAATTACCCTTTCGCCTGGTTTGCCAGCTTCACCAACTGGGCCTGAGGGACCTGGAAGACCCTAAAATGAAAAGAAACAGATGGCAATAATCAACAACTCCACAATCCTTTTGTGTATTATGAAAAGTTACAGGTGAGCCTGTGCAAAAGTATTAGTAAACACAGTCTAAAATGTGAGGGCTCTTATGTCTCACAGGCTTCGTTCAGGACACAGGAACACAGGACGCTGACTTCCTGTCAGAGCGTTGGTCTTTTTAGCTCAGTATTGTCCACATTTATACTGGCAGAAGCTCTCCCAGGTTTCAGGCAGGGGACATTCCCAGTCCCATCTTCAGATGCTGGGGACTGAACACAGGATATTCTGTATAGGCAACTCCCCGTTTATGAGGGGAGTTATGTTGCGAGGCACCCGTGTGTTTAAGTAAAAGCGCATGTGTTGGGAGCACAGTTGAAAAAGCCTGCAAACATCCTCCAAACCTCCTTGCTCAAACTAACTCTCCACACGCCTCAAAGGTCCTGCGGTTGCACTTGCAAAGGCTTGTGGGATTGCCAGTTGCTGTTTTTACGCCATTTTGCCATTTCCACACTCTTTCAGGACCGTTTTTGCCCCTTTGTGTCCCACTTCTGGGTTCCTGTGCACAGTCACGCATGCCTTGAACACACAGAAATGGGGAGTTGCCTGTACAAAATCCACATGGACTGAAACGTCTGTGGATTACTATTGCTGTTCTCTGCCCAAACCAACTTATTATCGTAATTTGAGTGGCAAGCCTCAGATCTTAAAACAGCTCTTCCCTTCACTGAAGTGCATTATACAGATTTTCAGGATGACTCCCTTATATGAAAACCAAGCCATGTGCAAGACAACTCCTTGCAAGACCACATTAAAAGATTCTTAAGAAAGATGTGGCTTAAATCAATTCAAATTATCTACCACTCCTGTTTTCGTACACTAAACACATTTATACTCTGTGCCTTGTGCACTATATAATCCAAAACATACTGAAATGCTTCTGATCATTTGTTCTTAGCACAGTTTCCAACAGCAAACAGTGCAAAATCTGTGTTAACATTAGCTAGTAAGAAAGACCATAGTTGTTTAAGGAGAGCAAGGGATGCAAATGTTGGCCTCTGATCCTGACCAGGACACCAAGGGCCACTGAGAGGCTGCCTCCCAGGAGCATCACTGTAATGGGGAGTGCAACATAACCCCACCTATCAGCCACTGAAGGAGCAGCTGCTCCAATCCTTGCTTTCCTCATCCCTTCCCATTCCTTTTTCCTTTTCTGCTGTGTTTATTAGATTGCGAACTTGTGCACAGAGACCCTCTTATGTTTTAATGTGTGTACAGTGCTTAAAATGTTTCAGGCACTTGTTAAATAATAATATTTATCATCATCCTCACCACCACCACTTACTTGGAAGCCAGGAGCACCAGCTGGGCCAGTTTCACCTTTAGCACCAGGGTTGCCCTAGAGGAATTAAAAGACAGAATAAAAATAAGTATCCAATGCCTTTGGAGTGGAAGCATGGCTACACAGCTCCCCCCCCCGACTTTTTTTTCTGTATTAAAATCAAGGAAGTTCAATCACCACAATGAAATAGGCAACTGCCCCCCTGCAAAGCTACCCAAAGAAAGGCACATGGAGATCAGTGCCCTCCATTGAAGTTAATGGGCAGACACAGGTAGTGGAGCTCTGTGTTTGTGTCAAAGGTTAACAATGATGATCATGTACTTACAACAACACCAATTGGACCTTGAGCACCGTTATTTCCCTCGGGACCAGGAGCACCCTACAATAACAGAGGGATGAGTTATGTAAGATATGGACAATATACACCGTGTTTGTTATTTTCCTAAAAATAAAATGGCATCACCTTAGCTGACTATTTAATGGATTGGGTGTTCCCTCCCTGAGATGTAATCCAATGACTTTGAACATTGGTACCATGTAGAAGCTAACTTATGGCACGTGTACACATACACAGGCACACAAACACATTCCTTGCTTGCACACATGGTAGAGTTGCTCCACAAAACAAACAGCTGTTTCATTTGCATTAAAAATAGAAGATAATAGACAGGTAGACAGGTAGTATAGCCCTCCCTTAGAGGTTGGCAATTCCTGTACAGATCCTGCTCTCTTAACTAAGGCATGTTCATTGGGACATAAGATAGCTGCACATACCCGTTGGCCAGCAACACCAACATGGCCTCTGTCACCAGGTTTGCCAGGCTCACCCTACGGCAGAAAGAAAAGAAAATGAAAACAAGATTAGAACAAACATCAACTACGCTCAAGTTCCTTTATTTGGGCTGATGCACCTCCTCTATTTCCGAAAACCCACCTGTGCTCTCTGAGACTGGAGTCAGTGCCGGGGGGCGGGGCCAGGCAGCATAAATGGGTACCTGTTGATGTCCCTACCCAGGCCAATGAGAATTAGATTTGCTGCCCCTCCTACTTATGGTTCCCACCTGTTTGCTCACAAATCCCCTGTCCCAGAGGGAAAATGTCTAGTGATGGCAGGAAGCACGAGAAGAAGCAGTTCTCTCCCCAGGAAGCCAGCAGGCCCTCCACTAAGGGCATTGTGCCTAAGGACCTTCCCCCACCCCCCAACCCCAAACCTGGGCAGGGCATTGATATGGACTGTAACCTTACACTAGCACTGTAGTGCCATCACTCTGGTATTTGTTGCTGGGATACCAGAAAGGTTAACATGAGGACACGAAGTTGGCGTTGCAGACAATTTCTCATGCTACCAGGCTGTTATATGGTGGTCCCCCCCAAGCTCCATTGCACTTACATTGGGACCTTTAGGTCCTGGGAATCCAATGATGCCAGGTTCACCTCTTGGACCAGCGGGACCAGTTGGGCCAGGTCTACCATCAGCACCAGCCAGACCCTAGAGGAGGGAAACAAACCACATTGATTTTATCCTAGGTATATTGCTTGACCTCCCCTGAGAGCAGCACACTACCAATGAAGACATTATATCTATATTGCATATCAATACATTACATATCAATATCATGATGCTGTAGACTACATTATATCTATGCTATAGATGCTATATTACATATCAATATCACGATGCAACCTAGCCTCTAGACTCACCCTTTTTTTCTTCCCAGATCTACAACAGGCTTCCTCAGCCTGATGTTATTGGGTTCCCAACTCCCAAGACCATTGGCCATGTTGGCTGTGGATGATGGGAGTTGTAGTCCAACAACATCTGGAAGACACCTGACCTGGTTGAGGAAAGCCGGAAAGGGGGAAGTTCTGCTGCAGGCCTGTGTTCAGAGGCCCGTCTGGAAGCTTCTGTGAAACCATTTTAATAAACCAGCACCTGTGCAGAGCCTGAATCAGTAGACAAGGTTCAACAGACACTGCAGTGATGATTTCCTAAACTGGCCTGTACTTGGGCCTGGGATGGCAGAATGGCTTTGAACACGGGAATGTCCCAGGCTCAGACTCTGGGCTCACCAATGATCTCTTGAGAAAATTGCTCAGGGACTTGCAAAGGAAGAGGCAGGTTGGGCAAGTGAGGGGCTGTGTGTGCTGCCCCACCCTCTCTTGCACCACTGCCTCCCAGAACCAGGAGGGGATTGAAGAGGGAAGATCAGAGACAACTTCTAGGCAGATGTAGTCTCAGGCTGTGTGGACGCAGCCCGTCGGTGGAAGGCAAATAAACTGGTAGAGAGGGTGTGCCCCCTTGTTGCTGCAACTGCTCCATAGATCACAGACCAGGGAATAGTTGCCTGGACCCTAGACTGGTGTGTGTGGGTATCTGGAACGATAGAAACTAAGTGTCCACTTTTGACAATATTGTGTTAGCGATCTACTATGTGCATTCCTTTGCCTAGGGAGCACTGTGACACCAGGCTAAACAGGATAAAAATGTTATAGAACACAGCTGTGGACATTACTTATAAGTCTATAACTGTTAACTAAAATCTACATTTTTTAAAAATGATATATTTGTAGGGTAGAGTGTGGGCTACTTACAGGAAGACCTTCTTTGCCAGCAGGGCCTGGGCTTCCAGATTGACCAGGGAGACCCTAAAAAGCACAGACGTTTCATCAGTGTCATCTTTGAGGCTTATTTCAAACAGGAATGTAAGAATTCCTCCTCCCTCCCTCCCTCTTTCAGACACCCACCACTTAAATATATGCACAAATATACTATAAAGGCTTGTTGCTATTAGGGATAGAAGAGACTTTGGTCTGGCCTGCATTTTAAAGTGAATGGGCCTCATTTTCAACCCAGCAACGTGGATCAGATTGTAATTATCTTCCAATTTAGCGCTTCTCCAAATTTTGCCTTTTTGGCTCAAAAAACGTATTGAAATGCTTGTTTTAGGATAAAATGTGCCCTGCCAGGTTCACCTCGTGGACCACCTGGACTTTTAAAACAGATTAATGGAGAAATGGGCTGGAATTGATTTATCAATGAACACGACAGAAATTGATGCAGCCTGGAAGTAGTAACAAGCGACTGACAGATCAGTCTATCTACCAATTAAATTCATGTTTACTGGGAAATGTCCATATTGAACTCATTGGGATTTCCTCCCAAATCACAGTGCAATTCTACACATGTTTAGTAAGAAGGTATGTATAGGGCTGCACACTACCAAAGCTCATTGTGCTTAACCACAGGTAAGTTAGGATATGGGTGCAACCCAAATATCCACTGCAGCCTCAGTTTCATATCTGTATAATGGGAATACGAATAATCTCACAACATGGTCATGAGAGTTGAATATAGTGATGAATATAAAGTTCTCATAACCAAACATTACTAACCATCACCATAAATCATACTGCATTTTTAAAATGCAAGCATTATTGGTGGCGGAGGGGAAACCCTCTATTTATTTGGATACTGCTGCCTTGCAACGTCACACGCTCCTCATCCTCGCCCTTGATACTTACTCTTGCACCCATGAGACCAGGTTCACCGGGGCGTCCAGAATCACCATTGGGACCTTTAGCACCAGCAGCACCAGTAGCACCACGATTACCAACAGCTCCCTACAGAGGAGAAACGAACCCACAACCAGTTCCAATGAGAGGGAGCAACAACGGCAAGAAGAACATCTCTTCAAAAGAAACAAAAGCAGCAGCAGAAGGAGAAGGTAGCTTACCATCACACCAGCTCTGCCATCAGCTCCAGGGAGACCACGAGATCCAGGAACACCCTATGAAGGAAAAGAACACACAGATATCTGGTCAGAAAAGAAGAGAGAGTTTTAGCCAACAGGCAAAGGCAAGGCTTGCTACAGCTAAGGATTTACAAAGGAATGCTTGGCATTTGTGATGGGATTGGGGCCTCCTGAGAAAGTGACTTTTCCTTTGCTTAATAAAAATAGTTGAACTGGGCACACATGCACCCAATGGCTGGAGTGAAGCCAAAATGGGATGGTATCTCAGGGCCTTTGTTGCCTTTATGTCCCCTTCCCCCTGTTCCATGTGCTGAAACTGACCAGACCAGAAGCCGAGTTTTATTTCAACCCTGGCAATGAGACACCAAGCTCCACAACACCTGAAGGCATCAGGGTATATTCTGTTTGGCACTCGCAGCTGTGTCCACCAACACTTGAGTGGTGCTCCTCACCCCCCAGCACCTGCTGCGTAAGGTGACTGCCTCACCCTGCCCAATGATAGGGCTGGTCCACGAGAGGTATTCCAGTGCTCTTTAGAGGTTGCTGTAGAGCCCAATAAAGAGAATGGCAAGCTCTCAACTGAATGGCAGGTACCATTTCAAGAAGGCCAATATAGCTCTGGGAACCAGCAGGGTTGAATTTATAGTGGCAGATGAAAACTGATAAAGCAGACCAGGTACAAAACAACCTGGGACAGCCTTGTGGATATTATGAGGCTACCTTCACTACCTGACATTATCCTGCAATGACCATAATGTGTGTTGCTGGGAACAGTATCAAAGCGCTGTCATCAGTGAGCATGTAGACTGTGAAAATGAGCTAACCGCCAAGGCCTTCAGGACTTTTACAATGCACTGCAACCCAGGCCCACAGGACAAAAGGAATGGTTTATCCCAACGGGGGGAAATCATGACCAATTCACCCATTCGATTTATCCACTAGAGGAAGCATTCCTGCTAAGTGATCTCTTATGCCTCTACATCTGTGGAAAAATAATTTGTGAACATGTGCATGCAAATTGCTTCTTCTTCCAGTGCTAGATCTGGAGATTGGCAATATGCAGCTTTGGCAAGGAACAGTTTTTCCTGTAAAACACAGTAAGTTTCCACTGCTATGCAGGCACAGAGATCACACATAGGACTGATCCAATGGCTACAAAATACAATGTGCAGCTAAACTGTCACTGTCGCAAGAGTTGGTTCTAGATCTCTGCCAGATTCTAAGTCCAGCCCCCAAAGGAACAACTGAACAAAGTTTCAGCAAAATTCAGCGTGTCATGAGAAGCGCTGATTATCTTGCAAAAATTAGCCCTACTGTGTCCCCAATGCACCAAGTTCTAAAGAAGCAAAAAGCCCATTGACACAGTTTTAATTGAACAATCATATATTCTCAATGCACATGTAGAATCATTGTTCATTATCCTCATTTACTACTGCTGCTGCCACTACACGTTGGCAGCTAGTGATTTATTTATTTTTACAAAAACCACAATTAGTTTGAAAATATTCCAGGACGTTGGATATCTAGCTGAGATGCCGCAGCTGAACTCTTGCTTAAGGCTAAAAGAATGGCCTTTGTCAAAGCAGGCCCTCTGGTAGCCCAGCACTGACTACCACATTGGAGAGAGACTGGGGTCTCAGGTAGTGCCTTCTCCTAGCCCAGCTACTTGGAATACTTTAACTGGAACCTTAGGTCCTCTACAGACCCAGAATGTGCTGCCTCCATGGCCCACCCACATATGCACATACATTGGAACATTGTCTGGTGTAGACAAGAATGCCCCTCCAAGCACAGGTAGGTGTGGTCATGTTAATCCCACAGGAATTTAGGAAGCCACCCTAAATACCAGGGCAAACTATTTGTCTGCCTGGCCCAGTTCTATCTGCTCTGACCAGTAACAGCAGCTCTCTAGGATCTCAGGCAGAGGAAGGTCTTCCACCTGTTACCTGATCCTTTCACTGGAGATGTCCTGGATGGAGAATGGGGCCTTCTGCATGAAGAATTAACATGTATATTCAGCCCAGTACCAATTATACTGGTAGAGCATGAGACTCTTGATCTCAGAGCTGTGGGTTCAAGCCCCACGCTGGGCAAAATATTCCTGCATGGCAGTGGACGTCCCTTCCAACTCCATGGTTTCCCTGGTGTTTTCTATTGTGCTGGGTTTTTGTTTCCTTTTGTAGCACACTTACTCTTAAACCTGCAGATCCAGGTGCCCCAGTCGAGCCAGGCTCGCCGTTGGAACCCCTCTTGCCTTCTTCACCACTTGGTCCAGCAGGGCCAGCAGGGCCGGAAGCACCCTGTCGGGTAGGAAAGAGAGCAAAACAAGCCACCATTTTGAGAAACAGGCTGCATGATGGGGGGGGGACAGAATCAACAGTGATTTCCACCACATAGATAGCAGTGCTTCATGCAGTAAAGATACTCACAGGCTCTCCCTTGTTACCGGTCTCTCCCTTGGATCCAGCGGGGCCGGGTTCACCCTGGAGTCAAACAGAACAAGAGATCCCAACAGTGAACACTATGAATTTACACACACCTTTGTTTTTCTTCTTCTGAACATCTGGGCTGCAAAGTTATCCAAGCAACTAAGAACTGCAGCAAAACGGCCTAGCAGCAGCATCTCACGCAACGATACTCCCCAAACAAGTCTGTACATGCCCACTCAAGAGTTGGTTCCTACTTAAATCAGTGGGTCCCGTCCCCCCATCTTACAGGTAACCGGATATAGGATTGCAGCTTCAGTCATCCAAATTGGGCTGTTCCTAGCCCAGATTTGTGCTTGAATTATTAGGGGTGGGGGTGGGGTAGATGAAACCATATGTCTCACTCGCCAATCATCCCATTACCCTGTAGCCTTACAAACAGTAGCTGGCACAGAATGTAAGAGGGCCAGGCCTGTCTCCCTTGCCCTGCCCCTGGTCATCTGAGCACTGGCTTGGATGGTGTGTTTATTGAAGAAAGGGAATCATCAATGCAGTTACAATAGGGGAATAAGTTGTGCCCAGTTCTATGTAAATATGCAGTTACTAATTCACATCTGACTTAAGTCATGGACAAACTTCGTGGCTCCAGTATTCTCCCCAATACTGGTCTCCCTTACAGAGCTGCTGTAAGGATTGCCACTGTAAGAACAATTCTTTCATTGGCAAAGTTGACATAAAAGAGAGAATCTGCAGCAGTGACTGTCGTTGGCATTAGACATTAACAGCTTGGTGCAAAACTGCACTAGACCAAAGGAAGGCAAAATAACCCCAGACAGTTTACATTATCAGACACTGCTTCACACTTGGTTGGATATTAACCATATAGCAATGGTGCCAAATGTTCTAGCAAGGGCAACGGGCAACTATGTGCCAGCCAGGGCGGCCTAAAGTCAGAGCAAGCCTAGATGCTGGCAGGCAAGACCAGCATCCTATGTACAAAGGCAACTCAGACACTAGAACGATGCCCTTCTGGCCTTTGTGGAAGCCACATATCCCCCCTGGGGACTGTGGAATTGGAGGGAAGCATCCGCTGGCCTCTGCCACTGGACAAGAGACCAAGGATCACTGGGGAGGCTGCACTACCTGCCCCCGTCTCCCAGGAAGAAAATCATGGCTATGAGAGGACCTACCTGGCTTATCGGCCAGATAAGGAGCAGCTTCAGGGGGTGGTTTGTTCCCTCCCTCCAGTTCCTGGGGCTGGAGAGCAGAGGAACAAAGGCTGCTGGGTTGTGCATGTGTGTATTAGTGTGCAGCTGCATGATGGGTGATTTGGGAGATACCTGCCGTTTGTAAGCTGCTTTGATCATCACTTGACTGAAAGGCAGGCCATGCATTGTCAAAAACACAGGACCCATAAATTGCAAAAAGGAGGCATATACGGTAGATAGCATCACTTACAACAAGTCCTCTAGCTCCAGCAGCACCAGCGGAGCCAGCAGCGCCAATCATACCACGGGGACCAGGCAGGCCAGGAGCACCAGCTGGACCGGGAAGACCCTGCCCAGAAAGGAGAGAGGAGGAGGAGAACACATGTCAGAACTCTCCTCTGTAGCGCCACAGAAGCTTTTCCTATGGGACAATCCAGTTTGAGGCCTGCATACTTACAGCTGCGCCTTTAGCACCATTAATGCCGTTGTTACCAGGGTTACCCTAAGAGAGAGAGAAAAGGATAATGTTAGGTTTTAGATATATATGATCGCCTGCTCATGTTATCTAGGCATATTGGTTTAGGGGTTTTTGTGTGTGTGTGCAAACTGCTTAGATGTTTCTTTATGCCCAAGCGACATATATAAACGAAATAACTCAAAAGCAGATGCAAGGAACCATATTCATCAGTACAAGAAGCTTCAAGGGTAACTTACTGGAGGGCCAACAGGACCGGAAGCACCAGGGAGTCCAACCTCACCACGAGGGCCAGCAGGACCAGAGGGACCCGTGTTGCCAGCAGAACCAACTTCACCCTGTTTGGGAAGAGAGGATGTGTGTGGTGAGCGCTGAGTGTTCAGTGTATGGTTCATTTCAGCACTTATTAAACCTATACTACTCTAATCAGGCTTAAAACAAAAACAAAACAAAGATAACATCCCCAGTGTGGCTGTCTCTGTTAAGATGAGCACTAGATAGTACAGTAATCATGATCCAATTGCAGCAAATAGTTCAGCAAAAGAGAAGACATCCTAGCCCTGTTGTTGCTATTATTATTATTATTATTATTTATTTTACGATCCTTATATTTGACTTTGGATCATGTGATGCATTGCATCATGGTGGATTTATGGCAGGGTGAGTAGTGCAGCTGAGAAGGGTGCCTTCTCAAAGCCTGGCAAGCACTTGCCCTGCTTTGGAAAGGAGGTGGAAGAGCTCTAGGGCCCTGCCAGAGCCTCACACCTCCTTCCTAAAGCTCGGCTTAAGCCTGTGCCCTCGCACAGGACAGCATATTACCAAGGTCTGCCCCTGCGTACTGGCATATGCAGGCTTTTGTGGATCTACAACATCCATATGAAGACATCATCTGCTGTGCCAATGCCACATTAGCCTTCCTGATAGAAAAGCAAGTGCTTTATCTTTCTCTCTAGCTAGGTGCAGAATTTTGTTACTGCCCATCTTTGCCTGGCTATTACAAACCAACCCAATCATCATGACCACTAGGAACTATCTCAACAAGAAATAATTTCATCTGCAATTTCCGCACATGCCATTAATTTTTCTTGCTTACAGGGCAAACGCAGTTATGCGAATCTATCCTAAGTGAACATCACCAAACATCTCCCCTAATGCAAAATGTATATTTTTGGCATAGGGATAGGACCAGTTCTGTATCTTTGCTCTTTGGTCCAGCAAAGCCTTACATGAGCTGAAAGGTGTGAGGAGATGATTTCCACAAATGGTCATTGTGAATGTTTGTAGGTGGGAACAACCTGTATTCTTCTCATTGTACAGCTAAAGCATTGCTTGGTTTGAAAACATTTCGTTGAGCATCTGTGCCTGAGGGGGTGGAAAATATATCATACCTTGGCTCCGGGAGCACCTGAGAATCCTGGAGCTCCAGCAGCACCCATGGGACCCTGTGAAAATAAAGAAAGAGAAATCCTTCAAGATCTGCAGATGCAAGTAGTAGGCTGAGAAGGAGACAAAGGAAAGAGGCCATAGGAATCAATGACCAGGATACATCTCATGGGATCCTGAAGCAACAAAGTAGAGTGCCTACATGACAACAGACTTCAGTCCTAGAACAAGGTTTGAATCCGATCTTAGAGCCAAACACATGAAAAGGTCTCCTTGCATTTTGGCATGCCAGTGCCCCCAAAGCAGGCCTGCAAAATGTGGGACCCCTGCCAGGTTTTCCCAGCCCAGGGAGATGGCAAAGGCAGGAGGTTTCATCACGCTCAGTTCTGACGTTTTAATCAGAATGCGGCATTTCCATCATTCCCTTTATATCTGATGTTCAGGCATAAGTGCTGCTGCTTATGTAGCCAAAACAGTACCATATCTGCACACAATGGAGGAGAATCAGCAGACTTGGGGGAGATCATGAGGTCTGCAGAAGTAGCTCCAACCCACCCCCCACACCAAAACAACAACAACCAGGAAAAGGACCCTGGGTAGGAGGAGGAGAAAAAAATCCACTGAGGACTGAGCATGTTCACTGGGCACAAAATGCCAAGGATGGGGATATGGCTCAATACGTAGCTTGCTGTGTCCATCATAAGAAGTGCCAGGGCATCACTGCTGTCATTACAAGCATTGCTTCTGGGCAAATGCACCTCTGTGTGTGCATGGCTCTAGAAGCAAGAATGCCTTGTGCCTCTGTTTGGCCTTCCCTGAGCTAAGAACCATTTTAAAACCTTGAAGGTAGAATAAAGGTTGCCCTTGCAAGGATGTATTTTGCTGCTTCTCTGTTTAACATGCTTGCCTGGCTGTTATGATAAACAAGCACCCACTTTCTAGATGTTTCATTTAAAGCGGGGGGGGGGGGGGACAGGGACCCAACACTGCATTAGTTACAAAACGAGAGAGCGCAATTTTTAGCATCGCTTGCAAAAGTGCAACAGAGTGTGTTAAAAAATTGAGGTGCTGTATATCCAGCCTTAGAGCAATGTACTAATCACACTGGCAGTAACTGACCTATTCCTTACTGAGTTGGCCAGGAGACAATGTGATTGGTTTGCTGCCTATGCTAGACACTGGACATTCCAGGATATAAGGCAGGGATGGGAAACGGATGTCACACAGACCCCTGTGGACATCTTTCTCCTGTGGTCAATCTCCAAATTCCCAAGGCGAGGGGCACTTGGAGTAATAAAGCCTCATGTTCCATTTTTGAATCAGCCAGTTTGCCCCCTTACCAGAGGCAGGAATGCTTGAAGAATTCAGAATCTGTGAATTCTTATGCAAACTGACCTGTTTCACACCTCCTGGACTAATGTGTGGCTCAGAAATGCAAACATCCTTTGGATTTTTCACATTTCTGCAAATTTCATAATACAATTCTCAGCTCAAAAAATGTATCCCAATGTGTTTATTAAACATTTTCATTTTAGCATGACATATGCTTGGGAAAGTGTACATTGAGATAAAGTATGCACTTCAATACAGTGGTTTTAAAAAATGGCAGATTAATCTGGAAGTGGGATGGAACAGACTTATTGAATGAACACATGCAAAATTGGCATGGAGCAGAAATAACACTGATTAATCCATCGCTTCCTAAGAGTAGCTGCTTTATAAGCAGTGTACAAGGCATATCTTTCTATCTCAGCTACTAAGCACCATCAGAAAACTGATGAGGAAAAGGGATCTTCATATATATATATATTTAACTACAGAGCCTGGATTCCCATTAGTCAGGCTGCTGAAGAGGGCCAATAATATCACTATCTGTGCGGGGAGAGCTCCCACAGCTTCTATGCGGCTTGGGCTGGGCAAATCCAGCCATCACTGCGAAAGCAGTCAGTCCAAAACACTGGATTTCAGGCTTGAGCTGAAAAGTCTGTGGAAGCACCCTGAGAATACTACTACTATTTTGGTCAGCTCTTTGATGCCTATCTGGAAATGCCAGATGTTTGTTTTTGGAAAAGAAGGAAAGAAAGAAAAGATTTCCTTTTGTGCAACTGATAAAGGGCAGAGAGAAAGGCAGGAGACCATCGCACAGAGAAATCCAAGTGACTGGTGGGTCACAGTGTGTGTCGTTCATCAGGACAGAATGATAGAATATTAAAGTTTGGACTTACAGCGGGACCAGTGGGACCATTGCTTCCATCACTGCCACGAGCCCCCTAAAAGAAAACAAAGGTTCTCTTTACATCTTAAATTCCTGGTACAAAATTGAAGAATCCAAAAGAAAGAAAACGGAAGCCACGTTGTACAGGTAGGGGAGTCACTTACAACTGCGCCAGGAGCGCCGACTCTTCCCCTTTCACCAGGGAGACCACGAGCACCCTGAAAACAAAGGACACGCAAATCATTACCGAATATTTCTTTACTTCATTTAATAAATTTCTACAGCACCCTTCATCAGAGAATCACAAGGTGGTTTATGATATAGAAACTCAAAAATTCATAACGTTGTTTAACAAACAAAAACAATACCCCGCACAATATTATTTTCTTACTAGTACTAGTAATAATATAAGCTGCAGTGCATTACGAAGTATAGTCTAGTATAGCTTCTGTCTTTTCTCAGTTTCCACAATAGGGTGCAATGCTCCTCATTCAAGTTATAGCATGCTCAACTCAGATTTAATTCAGTGGGATTGGCACACACCCAAGTGAGCAAAGGACTCCAGATTTACTGCTGCCCTCAACACAGTAAGTCATATATTCTAATCAAATAGCATCATTTCTATTAAACACTGAGAATTCCATGAAAGCAACTGGCAAACTTTAACAAATGGCAACAGGATTTTTGATGACTTAATATTGTGTAAGTCACAGAGAGAAAATACTTACAGGTTGTCCGGGAGTACCATTTTCACCAGGGGCACCAGGTTCGCCCTGTGAATGACAAAGATTCTCCATTTAGCCCATGGTTTAGGTTGTCCTTTCCTTGCGAGTCTTATTACTGACATAGCAAAAGATGTAGTCAGAACGTTTACACTTCTGGCATTTAAATTAGTACACCAAAGTTCATACAAAGTAAAGCCTCTTATCAGCTTAGTGATCTAGTTAGCAAAGAGGGTTTGTAGAAGAGGGGTAGAACAAATGTTGGCTGTAGCCCAGATAAAATGCGCAAAAGTAAAGGAAAAAGCTAACTGTGTGACAATCTTATGCCCCATTAATTTCATTGGAGCTGAAGTGTGACTCCTTGGGACTGAGATAAAAATGCTTTGCTGCTAAAGGCAGCCACCACAATTGCATGCATGTGTCTGGACAGGTTGATCTATAAAGGTCTCCGATACCATGAAGCTAACAGATGCACAGATTTCAGCCCAAGAAACTCTACTGGTATTTGCCAAAGTTGATACAGGCTGATGCAACAGGAGCTGGGAAAAGGTTTAGCTTTTCTATCCGGGCTTTTGCACTCCCTCTCCTGCCATATGGTTGCAAGGAAAGGCTTTGTACGTTTTCTCTTCCAATTTCAACTAACCAGCTGAGGGCTACATGTGAAACTGAACCCAGTATTAACTGTAACTATGGTTTGTTGAGACAAACCAGCTTCATAACCCATTTGAGCCTGAACTCAAATGGTTTCAAACAAGCCACAGTTAACATTAGCCACAGTTTCAACACAGCAAGCGATGCTTAATCGAAAATGGAAGCGAAAGCTTCCAAGAAGCCTCCTTGTGTCTGTACTAGAGGAGGAGGGAAGAGGGGGAAGACTAAGCTAAGCTTCTTCCTCACCTTCCCTGAACCTGGGTCTTCATTTAGCTAGAAGGCCAACCCATCTCCTTGTGATCAGTACAGGAGACCCCATCCCTCAACATTGGCTTGCTTTGGGACCAATGGAGCAACTTGTATTTTTCTCAGCTTTCTGTTTCCTTCGGGGGTTTTTGACTGAGAGTGTTGTTATCCACCCAGCTGCATTTCAAAGCGCCATTTGGTTTGCTGGCTCCACCTCTGAGCTAACATGAAAACAGAAATTTGACAAAGGAATATCTGAGATTCCTGGCTGTAAAGCAAGTTTAAAAGCTCTCGTTTCCCACATATCCCATTTTGATACTTGCACAATTAAGTCTCAGGGACACCTACTAGCTTCAGTTCACTACAATAATGAAAGGAGAAGCCTGTCAGTGCAAGCCAATTCCATATGAGACATGCATTTGCTGGCTTGCCTCAACACATGATTCTCGCTATTTCTGATGTCCAGGCTGTGAGCGCCATTTCTTTTGTAGGAAAATTGGCAGCAAGCATAGTCTAGAGGGAGGAGCAGCAGGCTTGGCAGAACACCAGGGTTTGCGGAAGTAAAGTCCACCCCCTGAAGGGGTGGGGACGGGACCTAAATTGGTCCAATACTAATGGAACATAGGAAGCTTGTAACAAATCAGACCATTGCTCCACCTAGCTCAGTGTTATCTACATTGACCGGCTAAGGCTCTCCAGCAGGGTATCTCCCCAGCCCCACCTGCCAGATGCTGGGGAATAAAACTAGGGCCTTCTGCATGCCAAGCAGATGCTCTGGCACTGAGCTATGGCGCCTCTCTAAGCGAAGCAGGCTCAATGACCACAGATGCTGAACTACTGCTAGGAGAAGCCTGTATTCAGTGGCGTAGCGTGGGGGGTGGAGGGGGGGCCGGCCGCACCGGGGGGGGGCGCGCTCGCCGCCTCCGGAGTCGCCGAAGAGCCTCGGGCGCAGGCTGTAGCAGAGCCCCATGTCTCGCGGAACTGACGAGCTGGCAGCGGCTCTCAGCGCTCGCCGCGGTCCCCGCGCGTCAGGGCCGCAGAGGGCACGCCAGGCAGCCCCGCCGCTGCTGCTGCTGCTGCAGCTGCTGGGCCATGTTGCATTTTCCTCGCCTCTCTGCCCTCCTCCTCCGGGCAAGCAGCGTAGTTTGGGCGGCAGCGCCAGCAGCAACTTGCCTCAGATCACCTGACACGGACCTGCCGCCGCCGCCGTGGCTACCTTACCGTAAATACCCCAGCCCAGGCAGCAGCAAGAAGAAGCTGGCAGCGGCAGCAGGTTAGGGGTTAGGGGGCGCAAATTACTTGCCTTGCCCCGGGTGCTGACAACCCACGCTACGCCGCTGCCTGTATTATTACATTTGTGTGCTGCCCATAAACTAAGAAATGGAAAAATGGAGGAGGAAGGAGAAATGGAATGACTGGAATCAGGAATAGCAGCATTCCACACTATTAACGTTTACTGCAGCTCCCGCTGTTTTTTATTTACATATGTATTTATTGGGATTTCTAGTATACCACACACAAAAGGAGAAACAAAAAACCTGCAGGTACTAGAATTCCACCCTTGTCCTACATGTACACACAGAGTTCATGAGCAACTCAGGCAGTGGCAGGGGCAAGTTCAAACTAGCCACATGGTTTGGGGGATCGGTGAGTTCAAAGCTTCTCATAGATGGAGGCTCCTACTGGCAATCCCGAGTGTCGGAGTCAGAACCAGAAGTGCAGAGTTCTTCCACCTCCTTGGATCCCCAGATGTTGTCAGACTCCAACTCCCATCAGCCCCAGCCAGCTTAACCAAAGGTTGAGGAAGGCTGGCTTAGAGCAAGCTGGCTATTTATTTCATCTTGCTCCCATGCTAGAATTTGGACCTGTGAGACTTTCTGTTGTGCCCATGCATCTCAAGGGCTTAGTACCAAACTGCTGTTGTCCTTCATTCATAGCATAGGCTGATTTTTCTTAGAAGGATAAAAGCCTACGAGAACAAAACATGCACAAAGGAAATAAAACAGAAGGGCTGCCATGCGCTCTGTGCTCTTGTTGGAATACCCATGTAACGTATATTAAAATTAAGTCATTTTTACCTTGTTACCGGGAGCACCAGGTTCTCCTTTCCGACCATCCAAACCGTTGTGTCCCTATGTTGGAAGAAGAAACACTGATGGGTAAAGTGGCCCCCCTAGTCCCCCCTTTTAAGGAAACCATTTCTTTATCATGCAGTGGTTGAAACACAACTCTAGCATTGCTCTGCATTCACCATATTGGTTCCCCCACTTGAGGAGGATCATTGTCAGTTAAGGAGGGACACAGTTGTCCTTCCTTAACATGGTTTGGTTCTGGTCTGCATCAGACCCAAACTTCGACAGCCCTCTTCCGTTCGTATGTTTTCTTAGCTTTATAGATGACTTTTCCTGCTTTTCATTATTTATATAGTGCCTTCAACATGCATGATGCTTTGCAGAATACAAAAGGGACATCTTCCTCAAAAACCTAAAATTTGATACAGAGTGAAAAAACAGAGGAGGGGGAAAGTGGAAACAGGCAGGGACAGTGCAAGACTTGGGGGGAAATGGTGCCAATGATGGCCTAACCAGAGCAGGGCCTAGCCCTGCTTGTGGCAATGACAGTCTGCCACTGTATGCTTCTTCTGCCACTGCTTTCTCTGTCACCATTCACCACCCTCCACCAGGCCCAGAGACATGCTTCAGTGGTGGAAAGGTGCTTTTAAATGGGAGAAAACTTGGCTCCCATCCATGGTGGCCAGCTGCCATCTTAGATTACCCAGAAAGCAATGCTCTAGGCCCCATACCTATGAAATCTATTTCATAGTTCTGTAGTCCTACCTAGATAATATTTCAGAGACCTATGCATTGGACGTTACACTTTGGGTAATTTAAAAATGTGAGTGTCCACCGGGGATGGGAGTTGAGCTTGGCTCCCGTACAAAACCAGCACTGCTGCCTGCCACTGATAAACATCTGAGGGTCTGGCAGGGAGGGCAGTGAAGGATGGTATGGCTAGGCTAGTGGGCAGGTGCCCTTGACCAGTGCCCAACGTGGCCAACATTTGGCACCAGACCTGGAAACAGGGAAGCAACACACAGTTGTTTAGGGAAATGCCTTTTCTCTAAAGGAGAAAAAAAACTGGCCTTTCTCAAGACAGTTAGAAAGGGCCACAGTAAACTAGGGGAATGTGGCAGACTAGGTGAACAGTGGCCATTGGCTGTTTTGATGAAGCAGTTACTACCACTTCCTTTGGGTGGAGAAGGAAAGTGGTATACAGGCTTCTTTTTGGTCTGCACTTTAATACTTAAAACTACACTTTAAAGTGCCGATTGTACATTCAAAATTTTGTCAATGACATATCACAGATGCATGCAGGATTTGGGGCTAAACACCCTGTGATATGGATGGGAGATTTATGGTCACATCTCCCTTAAGCTGATGGGCATTGCCATTCAAATAGCGTGTGCTTGCTGCATCATGTGATCAATAATGTGGGGCGGGGCTTACCTGCCCCCACCCTCAAAAATATATTTTATTCAAGTTGGCACCTGTGATGAAGACAGAAGCTTTCTTTATTGCCACCTTGGCATACAAGCCTTAAGCTTCTGTCTAAGACCAGTAGTTGCACAGAATAACACACAGTACATGCTCTGAACATACCATAGGTGTATTAACTGTCACCACCCTTAATTTTGTTCCTGTTTCAGTCAAATGCTCACCCTCATTCCTTTGAAACCAGGCAGACCAGCAGTTCCAGGAAAGCCACGAGTACCCTGGGAGGGAAAATGAGAGAGAAGGCTTAACATCTCAAATAAAAGCTGCTAGACAAAGTACTTGGGTGCAATATGTTAGTCCCAGCCACCAAGGTGAGCTGCTTGCAAGTCTCATTGCCACAGTCACTGATCCCTCTACGCACTGCTTTTGCCTTTGGGTCAGGAAGCTGGCATGACACATAAACCTATGAAGCTGTCCAGACTCATACAGAGTCAGACTATTTGTGCATACGGTCTACTCTGAGCAGCAGTGCTCCTCAAGCAGAGAGCCTTTCCCATATGCTACTGACTGTTTTTAGCTGAAGATGCTGGGGATTGATCCTGAGACCTTCAGCATGCAAAGCACACCTTCTGTCATTGTGCTCTAGCCCCTCCTTTGTCTTTACCAGGGGGGGCGGGGGAGAGGTTATTTAGTCCAAGGGCTCCTGGTTGCTGATCGCTAGTATAAAATGTTCCAAATTCTGTTCATTTTATAGACTTATATGCCACACAATAAGCAAAGTATCTCAGGATTGAACACGACCCATCCATAAAATTGCACAGAAGTACTTAATACCAGTGATCGATGCAGAAAGATGGAAAGACACAGCCCTATCCACTATAAAAGAATGGCTGATAAAACTATTGGACTTGGCTGAGATGGCAAAATTGAATTAGAGAAAAATAATTTACTGACATTTGTTAAGGATTGGAAATTTCTTATGGACTTTTTGCATGAAAGAGAAAATGATCTTAACACCTGGCTTATAGAAGATAGAATGGTTGGATCTTAAGGAATGAATGTCATATCATATGTAGCTGCAGGACAGAAAACCAGAAGTTATTTTATTTTTCTTCTTCTTTATCTTTCTTTAGTTTCTTCTCTCCCCCCCCATTTTCTCTTTCTTTAGGTTTCTCCTTTTCTTGTCTTTTCTTCCTTCTGACTTTGCTCTCTAACTGATTAAGTAGCTGTTTAATCTCAGTATATAATATTTTAAAAATGCTTGGATATGTATTTTTGTATACCTTTGAATAAGTACCAATAATGTTTTTTAAAAAATATTGGTATGCATTATCACATCAGATAATTTACTTGTTTAAACCGAAGGGCCTTAAACTGGAATTTGAAACAAATTTTTATTATTTTTTATTTATATTATTTTATTCTTATTTATTGAATTTATATAGCGCCCTATACCCAGAGGTACTGTTAATGCTTGTTTAATAGTAATAGTCTAGAGTTCCATAGCTTAGGAACAGATACACTATTACCATATTCCTTGTAGAGTAAAAGTGAACATCATGTGACAACCTTCATAGTGCTGCTCTCTGGCTAGGTGTTAAGATCCAGCAGGTGTAAATAGCTAGAATCTCTGCCTTAGTGGGAGGGTGGCATTGTACTTACACTAAAACTACTGGTAAGGAGCGGTGGCTGGTAATTTAATTTCCTATCCTGCAGCAGTGGTGTAGCGTGGGGGGTGCAGGGGGGGCCGGCCGCACCGGGTGCAACATCTGGGGGTTAGGGTTAGGGGGCGCAAATCCACGGGTTAGGGGGCGCAAATTACTTGCCTTGCCCCGGGTGCTGACAACCCACGCTACGCCACTGTCCTGCAGTTATGCAAACAGATTTAATCAGCAGATTAAACAGGCAACAGAAAACACAAAACTCACCTGAGGTCCAGGAACACCCCTCTCACCAGGTCGTCCAGGTTTTCCAGGATGACCCTAATGAAAGATTAGACGAGATGACTGAAATCTTTTGTGTGCAAAAGCAAGCGAGCTGCACATATTTAACATATCTCTATGCAAGGTATAAAAAAACATAATAACTTAAAAACTGACTAAACATGCAGCATCTTTCCCTCAGGAGACATAATGTCACATTTGAAGGCTATATTTCCTCTGATATTTTTAGGACAAGAACTTATGATGGAGGTGGTATTTAAGGTACTTATATTAAAGGATAAGTCCTACTGAACTCAGAAGGGACTTACTTCCGCTCTGGGATTGCACTGCGCATTTCTTAATTTCACAAAATGCAGATTTTTTTGGAGATACTTTTCAGAAACAGAACAGTTGGGAAATCCAGCTTTTTTAAAAAACCGAACTGCTTCTGGGTTGCAGAATCCATTAAAATATCCTTAAAACTTTTAATACACTACAACGCTGTGGTGGCATTCCAGTGGAATTTAGGAAACATGTTGAGCAATCAAAACACATGGAAATGGAGCTTTTCGTACCAGAAGTGATGGTTACAAGAGTGTTGGTGGGGATGGGACACAGAGGGCAGTCCAGAACAAATGCTGATAACCAATGTTTGGAAAAGGAAATGGCTCCTACTGATTCCCCCCCTCCTAAATCCCAGTTCAAATGAATACTTACATCTTCACCAGGTTTTCCAGGGGGACCCATTGGACCACGAGCACCTTGGGGACCCTAGTGATGGGGAAAAAAAGGTTCATTTGAAACAAAACAATAGTTTTTTCATGCTACATATGATCTAGTGACTTGACTAAGCCAGAGTTCTAGATCTGAATTCTTTAATCCAAGCTTGGGGTGGGCGGCTCTTTATTTATGGCTTCTGCGTTTCAAAACAAATCAGAAGACTTGGTGTTTGGTCTGATATCAGCTCCCCCAGTGGTCTCAAAGAGTTGCAGAAATCTAAAGCCTACCTGTCTAGCAAAAACCCTTTGTCTCCCCTCAAGCTCTTTATGTTTTCCCACTCCGCTTTGAGGAAACCAAGCAGGCGTGGGCTCTAGCAGAATCAGAACTCGTTTCTTGCTTCTCCCACCCTTGCTAGCTTGCAAAGGAATCTCAGATAATAGGCCCAAACTTCAATCTGGGGGAAGGGCTACATTGCAAATGGGTATTTCAGAATTCCTGTCATTCTCAGAATAGAATAAAAATGGTTCCACTTACTGTTTGACCAGGTTCACCGGGTTCACCAGCATGTCCCGCGTGGCCTGGAGAGCCCTAAGAAGCAAGGTGGGTGACAAACAACATTTTATACGGTTTTGAACGTTACGTGTGGGAAAAGTAAGTACTCTTCTATCAATGGGGGTGTTTGGAGAAGAGAACTGGGCATGGAAGCAGAGTGAGATTTGGGGAGTTATAGGCTGTGATTCAGTCAAATGTTGGGGTCCTTCAACCCAGACCAGTCTAGACCAGACCAGATAGACCAGTGGTAACATGGAGAGATACCAGGCAAACACATTGTGTGTTTTGGGCCTTCTGGGCCAGAACACGAAGGTGCAAACTGGGAAGGGAGCCAGGAAACACTGAAATGAGAAAGGTCATGGCTCCTCAGTTTGTAAACTGAGAACTATATCAGGGGACTGACAACAGCAGTCCTGGACCTGTCAATATAGGGCACCTCTTATACATGTGGGGTTACCCGCTTAGGGTCTAGTCAAGGCAAAACTTGTGTAACTGATGCTTTCTGCATGTGTATCAAACATATCTCTCTTCCTACTAATGGCTGTGTTCCAAATATACTTACAGGGGGTCCAGTTACTCCAGGAGGGCCTCTGGGTCCCATTATACCCTGGGAAAAGTTAAAGAAATAGTTAATATACTGCAATAGTAAAATGATGGTCCAGCTAGTGGTTTCGGTAGCACTTAGGCTGCAATCCTGAGCCGCACTTACTCAGGACTAAGTACTATTAAACGCAATGGGCTTACTTTTAAGGAGACATGCATAGGACATTTCAGGCACTGTTAATCATTTACCTGAAATCAAGCTTCAAGATTAAACCATGAACCACAGAGCAAAAAAAATGATTATAGTATTATAATAGCCTTAGATTATATTAGTAGCATAGCATCATAAAGTCAAAGCTGTATTTTCCTGTGTTTATCTATTGCTAGCATAGTATTAATACTCGCACTAGTTGAAATTTGCCTCTCATCCTTACATTCGCATATGTAATTTGCCTTAAACGCTATAGATATTGTACAACCTTCCCCAACCATGTGTCTTCCAGATGTTTTAGACTACAAAGCCCATAAGTCCCAGCCAGCATTGGCCAATGGTCAGGGATGATGGGAGTTGTGGTCCAAAAGCTATGGAGGGCACCAGCAGATGTGGGAAGGCTAATATAGTACATATGAACAGACTCCTATTCAAAGAAGGGAAAGAATTAAAATTTGCGCTTTAGCTTACCTGAAACGTCTCAGACAAAAATTATTCATCTACTGCTTTATTATATTTGCCTGCTTTTACATTTTTATTATTTTTCATTATATTTAACTTCTCTTTTAGGATTGTCAATCTTTGATTTTAGAAATTGTGGAACCTGAGCTGCATCAGATTCAGAGGCGGGGAGGTGGATTCCAAGAGATTCAGGGATTCAAATAACATATCTGGTTTCCCTTTGATGTTTGGGTCTGATGGCCATTTTGTAATTTATTGTGGTTTGGGGTTTTCCTAATGTCAATACTTTGATCTTGTGATGAGGGTGTGTGTGTGTGAAATGTAATACACACACACACACACACACACACTGTGGTGATGTTCTGGAATTCTAATGAATCTCTTTGGAAATTAGATGGCATATACTTAAAAAATAATAATAAACAACAGTGATAAACTCCCCCATGGGAGTTAGAATAACTCCCCCATGGTGGGCTGTCCTGCCCTTCCATTTCTAGCATGTAGCAGAGAAGTCATATCAAGAGAAGTCATTCTAGGCATGTAGCAGAGAAGTCAAGCAGAGAAGTCAGAGAAGTCATATCAACCGTGATAACTCCCCCATGGTAGGCTGTCCTGCCCTTCCATTCTAGCATGTAGCAGAGAAGTCATGCAAAGAGGTGGGTGGTGAAGAGCTCAAAGCTCCTGATGCCACCCACCTGCTTTCCCATCATCACCCAAAAGATTTTGACAACCAGCCCAAATGGCTGCTTTTGACACTAAGTCCTGGCAACTGGCCCAGTTGGGTTTTCAAAATGTCACTGTGTCAGATCATTCCCCCTTGTTCTGCATTCTCACCAGCTTGATCTTTATGAATAAGAATATAGAGGAATTGTCTGAGTACCTAAATATAACCCATAGTCCTAGCTGCAAATAAAGAGAACAGGAAGAGGAGCTGCCAACCTTTGTTTTATTCCAAGACCGATTTTAATTAGCCTCAATGATCAAACCGTTTACTCTACAATAATTTCAAGCAGATCCCTCTTGTCTAGGAAGGACTCCAAGCAGGTGTCTCCCTATAATCTTCCCACCACTTGCACAAAAATATGTTCAGAGAAAAATCAGTGGCTATTCCTTGAGCAGAGGTGGCACAAGCTGATGGATAATGGATTGACGATCTCTTCCCAATATGGATGTTTAAATGTTTTCTGCAAGGTTAGGCCTTTTTTAATCACTTTGATGGTTGAAGCATCTCTGTGTGCATACAGTAGAGCACCCCTCTCCATTTAAGTGATCAAGAAAGACCTTGTGGCCATGAGAGCTCCATATGCACCTTGAAGTTCTCATGGCAACAAGAAGCCACAAGATCAGGGATCAAGAGATTACATGGAGCTTTAAATCAGAAGTATCATTGGAATAGGAGAACGGGGCCAGGATTATGCAGGAGAACATCAAAGCTCCTGAACATAAAATTACTCATATGTTCTCCATAATATATGATCACTGCCCTCTTAATAGCCACCACTAGCTTTAATATACTTTTTAATTTTCTCTAAACATTTCTCTCTAAGCTTATCATTGAAGGATACTGCAGCTTGCTATAAGTGTCTCTAAAACATTGTTCTTTGCCATTTCTTCCACTGCCCTGCAAACAGTGGAAGATAACTTCAGGAAAAGGGTCTTGGAACCAGCTGTATGGTTGTGCCATTCCCAAATTCTGCCAAACGTTGGGCACTGTGCTCATACCGTACAGCAGGAGGGAAGCAAACTGTGGCCCTCCAGATGTTGTTAGACTCACATCAGCCCCAAACAACATGGCTAACAGTGAAGGAGCTGTAGTCCAATAACATCTGGAAGGCCACAGGTTGCCCAACCCTGCTGTAGAGCAGGATTGGTATTCTCCCAGCATGCAACAGAAGGGTGAGGTGTGAGAGCTACAAAGCATACTGGTGATATCAATGCACTGGCTTCTGTGTTCTTGGTTGGAGGAGGTGACTTCTCAGCAGGAAAAATATGTGTGCAGCAGTGGCACATGAAGGGTGGGGGTGGATTGGCAGCTGCACCCTCCTGGCAAAGCTGCGCTTGCCACAGTGAGGATGGGGCAGAGTGGCAACAGTGCTGTGCTTGTTTGGATTGTGAAAGGACAAAATGGCAGAGAGGTCAGGGCAGCTCTGGCTGGGTGGCAGTGGTGGTGACTCCACAGGTGCACGCAAACATGTGTTAGCGCCACCAATTCAGAGCTCTGCTGAGCTCACTGCCATCTTGCCCCGTCCTGGCAAGCACAGTCCTGTTGCCACTCTGACCCCTCATACATGCTGTTCCTGCATATACGGAAGGAGACAAAAAAATGTGAGGGCTGCCACCCTTGGGAAGCTGGAAGAGTCATAAACAAGTATGAGGGTGAATTGAGAAGACTAGAAGCTATGAGGTACCTTCATGGAGGCTCACCACATGGCAACTGCAACAGTGTGGGGAGGCAGCAGAGGGATGGGAATAGTGGGCCAAGTTACATGGCCAGAGGCTCCCTGGATGATTATAGGTGCCACATGGTAAACTCAGATGTGGCTACCACATGGTTCCAAGTAATTGGTCAACCTGTCCTGAGGCGTTATGTCTTGTGGCAGTACTGTCTCTAGAGGTTTAGGGCCCTGAAGGAAAATACCCTCAATGGAGCCTCCCTTACTTGGAAAGAGGTGGCAAATGCACACTGAGATTTTTTTCAGATTGCGCCTGATTTTCTTAGACTGCACAAAGCGGAAATGGCAGAACTGTTTGAACAGTTGGTCTTGAGGCACTGTCCAACCAGTTTAACCAGCCTCTGGAACCAGCCCTGTCCTACAATGCTCCTGGGAACTTTTTCACAGTCCACCTATTTCTGAGTCAGGTTTGACCTTTGTGACTTTGTGACTTCTTAAAAGAAGTTGCCCCATTTGTTTCCGCCATGTTGCAACCTTATGTTATATGTTATATTTATTGGTGTGCATGTTGTGTGTGTGTAAAAAACAACAACACAATATCCTCTCTCTTTCTAACACGAGAAAGGAAATTGTAATATCAGAAATGGCACTCTGGACAACTTCAGCATTCCCTGGAATGAGAGGAACCATCAGCCCCTTGCATTTCCTCTCCCCCTCCTTCTTGAGTGGAGGGGGCGGGAGACACATATTGGCCTTAAGGAAGGGACAGAATGAGCATCTCTCCATGCAAGCTGTATAAATAATCTCTCCTAAGACCAGACATGGGAGCATGAGGAATGGAAGCATACTCCTCATGCCTTGTCAAGGCTTCGAGAGAACATCTGAAGTGGTCTACGGTTCCCAGGAATTCAGGTACTAAATGCAAAAATGCTGTGTGTATATTAGCATTTTGATGCAAATGAATGATGGCAGTTCATTCTGGGCCTTTCAATTTTTATTTTTTATTTGTTGTGAAACCAAGTTCATTCATGACTATTTTTTTTAAATACCATACTCAGTTCATGTTTTATATAATCCAAAACACATCCATTTGGAAATAAATCTAATTCTATCTGGGCAATCCCATGCATCTTTACCCTTGGAAACAAGTTCTTAGTCTACTTTCAGTTGGCAGGGCCTTCTTAGTGGCAGGCCTGTTTCTTCCCAGGGCACATCTTGACCCTTGTCCCTTCTGTTTTTAAAGAAGGCGGGTTCCCTTCAGCCTGTGTTTGATGAATGTGCTATGCTGAAACTGTTTAGCAGCTGATGGCTTTTAACTTTAATTATTTTTAATTATTTTTATTTAACAGTATCTTTATAAGTTTTAAAATTGTTGCATCTTTATAAGTTTTAAAATCCACTTTGGGAGAACAGTGTGCCCCAAAAGGCATGCCAGAATTTTTAAAAAGTCCCACTATGTTCAGTGGAGCTTACTTTCTAGGAAATATATTAGAGCCAAACTACACACAATGTTTAATGCATAGTTTGCCCTTGAGTGCAAACTGCCAGGGCACAGGATCCACTCTGGATGGGCACCCGAATGTGTGTGTGGAGGACAATAGGGGGCTTTAAAAGTTTGCCCCGCACATTGGGTCCCACTCTGAATCAGGAAACCACACCTGCAGCTTGCATTGCCGGGGGAAATCTCCCATTCACTTCAATGGTAGTTTTTATCTTTATGCAAATTGCAAGTGTGGGGGTCCCAATCCAGATCGGGACCACATCTAAAAAAACCCCAAAACCCTACACACACACACACCACATGCCAAGGTCTCAATTCAGACCAGGTCCCTCCCCCTTCTCCTTGCTGTCCATGTTTTTGGAGGGGATGGGGAAGCTGGCACTGAAGCACAAGTTACAAAACACCGTGCATATTTTGGCCATTTAACCTATTGTTTGTATTATAGCTGACGTGTTGCAAAGCATGGCTCCTAACTGTGCAGGTGATGGTTTTTGTTTTGTTAAAAACTGTTATAACCGCGGAGCATGAGACAACTTGACCATTTTTGACGATCATTAATTCAGCAAACCTGACTGCAGTATTTTTCGCTTGGACATAAATGCCATCAAAATCAAATCAATGAGGTGAGCTTCTAATCCCTGGAACTCAGGCGCTAAACTCCTTTCATGGGAACCAAGTTCAATGGGTCAACTTCCAATTCACTGGGCTTGGTGATGGCTCTAGCCTGTCTTGCCAGGTGGGCAAGAATCACAGGTGAAGAAATTAAGTGGCCAAGCCCAGCACCTATCACAACGCATTACATCTGGCAGCCCATGTTGGGACAGAGCTGCATGGGTGGATAGGAGTTTCTTCCCTTCCAGCTCTTGCCTGATGAGAAGGCCAGGTTGGCCAGCAGTGTAGTGGTCTCCTGGCTCCAGTCACTGGATTCTATCAGAATCTGTGTTGGAACCAAAGGAACACTGGATAGCTGACCTACTTTCCTTGGAAGTGACCTGGGTAGGGTGCAAAACTCTTCCCCAGTGTGGGCTTTCTTCATTCATGAAGCACACTGGAGGCAGGAATAGCGGAATCCCATGCATTTTCTGAACACGCATGGCTTGCAAGGGATGACAATGCTAGATGCCTGGCTGGGAGGTACAGTGGGCCGTATAATGCTGCTATATGGTCTGCAGGTCAGATACACAGCAGAGACACAATGTGGGGAGCTTTCTGTGAGCAGGCTGTTACTTGGGGATTCCCTGTCACCATCAGTGGCAAGACACACCAGCACAATTTGAATTTGTGCATGTACCTGTGCGAGAAAGGAAGCATTGGCTTACCATGGGTCCGGGGCCAGGATCCGCTGCTTTGGACATGTCATATTGAGCAGCAAAGTTCTGTAGGAGTTAAAAAGAGGAAAGCTAATAAAGAAGAGCTTGATCAGAATTTAAATAATATACTCTAATCCAAAATGAAAATGAATGCAGGGTAACGAATTTGCATTCCTACATCTCAAGTCCTTCGCGCTTGTTTTTAAAACAACAACATCACGAATAAGAGGTTGAGTGAAGGGAGACAGAAGGAATCAAAGTAAAATGGAAAAAGTTCCTTCCTTCCGTAAATGTTTCTGTATCGTCAAGGATGTTCCTACCTATGGATCTCAACAGTATTTCTATACATGCCTGAGAAGATACAGCTAAAGATAATGGTCCCTGCCTTTGACGTGACAGGCCTTTTATGATGCTTCAAGACATCACCAATCAACTTCAGTAAAATAAAACATTGGATGCCTTACTCCGCCAAGACCAGGAGGACCAGGGGGGCCTGGGGGCCCTGGTGGACCATCTTCACCATCTCTGCCTGGTGGACCTGCTGGACCCTATGGGGAAAAATGCACAACGTTAAGTTATAAAAATATATAAATAGCTACCGAAGATTTCAAAGCAGTGACGTCATTTAAAGTACAAATATAGGAGTCTGCACAATCGAAACAGCTGGTGTTTCTGTACTTTACAATGTGGAAACCACTTAAATGTGTCACTGTTGCTTTCAGACAACTAGAAGATTTAGTTGTGTGATCCTATGCATGTACGTATATTCATATTTGCAGGCGGGAGAGAAGAGAATTGCAGTCTTAAAGGCCTTAACATAGGAATGAGGAACCTGAAGCTCTCCAGATGTTAGAATCCTAGTGTTGGAAGGTACCCCGAGGGTCACCCAGTCTAATCCCCTGCAATGCAGGAATCTCAACAAGCAGTCTCCCATCCAGTTTGAAACCATACAAGACCCTGCTTAGCTTTGCAAACGTTAAAGCAGTTTTATTGCTTGTTGTGTTGAGGGATAATAAATCCCATCGTGGCTGACCAATGGCCATGAAGGCTGGAGTTGATGGGAGTTGGGAGTCCAGCAACTTCTGGAGAGCCACAGCTTTCTCATCATGGGCATAACATGTGGAAAAGGCTGAGCACCTTAACATTTTGTTGGCATATTAATGCTAGGACTTACTGGGTGACAGTCAATTAAGTTTTACTCAAAAAGAGGTCCATTAAAATTAATGGATATAAGTTAGGTCCATTAATTTCAATGGATCTACTCTGAAATTTTTTTAGCAGAATACCACCCATTCACATTTTGTTATGTCTTTAAAAACTTCATTGGTGCATTGATTTGAGGCTTGATAAGGATTCTAGCTACACATTGTTAGAGAAGGTTGTCCCTTGAGAGCCAGTGTGGTGTAGTGGTTAAGAGCGGTAGACTCGTAATCTGGGGAACCAGGTTCGCGTCTCCGCTCCTCCACATGCAGCTGCTGGGTGACCTTGGGCTAGTCACACTTCTCTGAAGTCTCTCAGCCCCACTCACCTCACAGAGTGTTTGTTGTGGGGGAGGAAGGGAAAGGAGAATGTTAGCCGCTTTGAGACTCCTTAGGGTAGTGATAAAGCGGGATATCAAATCCAAACTCTTCTTCTTCTTCTTCTTGTGAGCTATCATACAAAGATTGTGCTAGGGAAGACCTTGCTACACTAGGATAATTATACCGTAGTAACCTTTTAACTGCCTTTAAATGAGTACATGTTCTAACTCCATGTTATCTGCTGTCTGGCTTTGGAGAGGTCCAAACAAGTTAATTACTTTCCTCATTTCACTTAACTGTTGCTTGTGCCCCATTTGGTTGAGCAAGTGTGTTTGCAAAGACAATAATCACAATGATTTTCATATATAAGAATGGAGACAAATTTGTTTGCACAAGCCTTAACTCTAAGACTGATGTTCTTAAATGGTATAAATCTCAGCAGAACAAGCAGTCATGCTAATTCCCATTAGTTGAGTAATATAGTTCCAGACTATATTAGTTGAATGAAAAGAAACCTATCAAAGCATTATAACTCAATGCACTCTCTGTTTCATGGTTTTTCAACCATCCCATTTTGCCACAACTGCCAAAGATTGCAGTTATCAATTCTGTGCTAATCAAAACACTGCAAATTCTGTGTTTAGCTGTGGATAAAAAGGTCAATTTTTACTAAGCCTATTCAGAGTCTAAGGGTATTATTCCAAATAACAACAAGCATTCCAAATATCACTGATGTGATTTAAATAATAATAATAGTTGTGGCTCACATGTTAATCAGATGACCCAACATCTATTCTAGTAACAAGAGGCTAGACTGGGATGGACTCAAAGTCAGAATCTTTCCTAAACTGGTTCTGAGTCATCAGATATTTCATGATGTATGGCAGATACTGCTTTATCAAGTATCCATCTACAGACTCTTGGATTCAAGGTGGCCTCCGACGCAATAGTAAAGGGATCTTCATGTCCTTAATAACTTAAAGCATGAAATATTCTGAACAACTCAGAATGTAGCCATATCTGCAGTGACCATTTTCAAACAAGCTGGTGTGCATCTCACACAGCACAGACGATTTCAGGCTAAAGGCTTGGCTCCTTAGCACATTGTTAGTCCTAAATCAGGCCTCCATCCACCAAGTCAAATCCAGCACACAAGCTGTTTATGAGAACTACCAGGTTTTGGCTACCTAACCTAGGCCTTCAAAACTTAGGAAGGAGGGAGCTCTTGTCAGGTACCTGGGAGCTCCTTAATAACATAATACTGTGATAGGCATGGTGTGTCACAAATTGTTTGGGTTTAAACATGCTAAATATTGAACAGCAACCATTACTTCATTCTAAGCGACTACTGAGGGAAGAACGAATCTTGAAGCAATTCTTGGAGGCCCAATTTTTGGCAGGGATGCTGTCAGGGAAAGACTTTGAGGGCAAAAATCCAGGGCCCCACTCAGAAGAGAAGGACCACCTTCCCTGACATATTAGGGGTCAATTAGCACATTTTTTAAGTGAAAGAAGCAAGACACTTTAGGGAGCCCCTCCTCCCTGTAAGACTATTAAATCCAGAATCTAAAGCTACTTAATTGCACAAGCAATAAGTACGGTAATATATTACCAAATTGCCCTCATAGTGCTTCACATTTTTCAAGGTAGCAAACACATGTTTTCCAATTAATTTGTTCACGGGGCGGGGTGGGGTGGGGAGTAATAGGATCAACTCTGGCTCCCTGACACATTGTCAACTTCATTTGCTACCCACACACACACACACACACACACGTAAAGTGGACTCTGGTTAATGAGCAACTGCACCTCTGAGGTCTCAGCCATGCACATTCCTTGACCTCTGTGTCAGAAATCCCACAGGCAATTCCAACCCTACGGATCAATCTCTGAACCCAACCTACTTTCCCCCTCTTCCTTCCTCTGAACCCTGAAGAAGCATTGCACCCAATATTACAGGGAGGGGAAATGAGGTCGCATCACCTGTGCAATGAATGAGTTAAAAGGTTTTTGCAGAGATCCTTGTGAGGGAATCGGAGCGGAAAAACAGCACTGCTGTGTCGGACAATGTGCTTGCATCAATGGACAAGCAGCGGGCAGGGGAATAAGCATAGGAGAGCTCTCAGGATTGTCACCTCAATTTCCATTCTTGATTTTCTAAGGTTCTGACTCAAGTGATTTTGCTGGTGGATGTTATTTATTCACATAGGAATTCCAGAGCCTCTGCTAATCATACTATGGTTTTATGATTGCTTTTTTGAAAACCTGTTACCTGCAAATCAGTCTCAAGACACTTCAATGGGAATAATAACCAATTCAGCCCTTTGCAATGGAGCTTTTGAGGCATTCAGTAACACTCTGTCCAAATTCTGGCCTTACCCAAAGCTACACAGCCCTCCTGACCCTTTCCAAATAGTGCCCATAGCACTTCCCCCCCAAACAGATGTGTTCAGTTGTACACAGTGCAGCCTCGTTTATATGAATTTTCTCAGAAGATGCACACAAAAATAGCTATAACTCTGAACAAGGGTTGGTGGGGGGGGTGGTACCACAGGTTTTTCGCTTTGGACCATGCTCTTCCTTATTCACCAGGGCATGATTTAGATATAACAAGCAAAATGAACATAATCATGGTTCTTTACCCTATCTCCTCGTGGCCCTTTTTCTCCTCTGGGCCCCTGAAAAAGAACAACATCAACAAAAATGTAAATGAGTGTTTCAAGCAATCGTTTTAAGTGCAGAAACCTATGGTGTTAAAAAGAACTGTCTGCTGATGAAAACAGCAAAACTAGAGCATAGGTAGAACTGAAAGGAATTGAATTGGAAAGGAAGGAAAGGAATTGAGATTGAACACACTCTTGCTTTCAATGAAAACCAAGAGGACAAATATGCATAAATAAAAATGTACTATCAATTAGTTCTTCATTAAGTGACAAGCATTCATTTATTTTCACATTTGAGCTGCAATCCTATTCCAACTTTCCTCAGAGGAAATCCAAATGGAGCTTAAGCCTGAGTAGGATTGTGCTGCTAATCTCCAAACAAAAGGCGTATATTCCTCACAAATATTTAGTAATTTGCAAAATGATCTGACATCCATAAAATCAGAGAGTCTTGAGAAGAAGGCTGACTATTTTTCCTGTGCATACCAGATCAGCTTTCATGCTGATAAAATTATGGCTTCAACCCACTTACACATAAATCCTAAACACAGCAGCTAAAGCCGCAAAAATTCAGTTAAATTTACTGAGCTGTATCCAAGTCTTACTCTTGAGTAGGCCTGCAGAAATCAACAGAAGCTACTAATTTAGGTCCATTCATTTCTAGGAGACTACTCTGAATAAAACTTAATTGGATTTTCACCTAAGGTTCACAGTTACCTTCGAGTAAGCCCCAGGGAATTTAGTGCAATTAGCATCCAAATAGAGATATATAAGAAAAACTGCCCGTGTACTACTAAGCATCTCAGCTGCATTCAAAAGCAAATTCACCTGAAATTAATAGCATTTACTCCGAAGTTTTCACTTTGCATTTTCCTGACAGTAAAGAGGACCTCTGCTCAGAGGTAAGCCCCACTAACTTCTAAAGGCCTTTCTACCACGAAATGAGGAATTAGATTGCAGCCTTTCAAAAATTATATTTTCAGCATTTCTGGGTTCTTTAAAACTGTAGCAGATACCCAGGAACAGAGTACAGCTCCGTAAATCTGAAGAAAATCCCTTAAAATGTGCTTACCCTCCGTCCTTCCGTTTCCTAGAAAGGAATGAATATGAAGTTAGAAGAAATCTAACGTTAGCAATATTTCACAGTAAGTACTAAACTCAGCCAAGTTAAGGCAGAGCAAATTAAACAATCGGTGGGGGGTAGGGAAAGAGTTATACAAGTTAGTATTTGCTACATCATGCAAGCACGATATTAAAAAGTCATACCTGAATTCATTCATGCTTTACGGGTGCAAAGATGTCTTTAACAGTTCTCTGGCTTTAAAATAGAGTTATGAATCTCCAGAATAGCTGGGCATGCAAGACCCTTCTGGCTACTGTGCAATATCCTCTTAATCTTACATTCACCTATGAAGGTAGCCTTTTAATAAGAAGGACGGCCCACTAGGAAACTAGGGGTGGGCACAAATCTGGGCATTCCTAATGATGCTAATCTGCAGTGGTATTGCCCGTGCACATCTTGGCAGCTGCAGTTAGTAAGTGGCCATTCAGGGGGGTGGAGGTAGGGAGATAATAAAATAGCCCACTCTTGTCCATTTTATTTTGAAAGGAATGATACTGACCTCATTTACATCTGGAGGGGGAAACAAAAAAAAAAAAAAACAAACAAAAAATGGTTAATGTTTAAGATTCAAAACAGTCTACATGTGAAGCAATGTACTGTATTTTTCCGTGTATAAGACGCCCCCAATTTTTGGGGACTCCAAATTGAGAAAATGGGGGGGAGATTGTATCCGTGTATAAGACGACCCACAATTCTGAGCATCATTTTTTAATTAAAAAAACCTAGTCTTATACACACGGTAGTTGTGATTTCAAAGACGAATGGCAGGAAATGTAAACATGAAATGACATTTTTTTAAGTGGATGACATTCTGATCGCCGCAAGACACCTCTGACAGAAGGAGGGCCTGTCCAACTTGGAAAGGCTTTTTTCTGACCCCAAGGCTTGAATGGATGTATTTAATAAAAGGTTTTATAAGAATCAGAACTTGGTTTTACAGGGCATGGGTGAAACACTCAATGTGCCATGGGGATTTTTCTTGCCCCCTCTGATGTCTGTTACACACACCAAAAAAATGTGACCCCAGAAGGAGTTGGATGTGAGATAAAGGGAAACAGACAAAACCCTCCCAAGCACGCACAAATGTGCTTTCTGCGGATGTATGAGGCTCCGTGGATCCCAGCAAAGGTGGCCACACAGCATTTCCCCTTGAAAACGCTTGAAACAGCAGCTTTTAAAAGTGTGCAGGTGCTATAGAAAGCCCAAAACAGTGAGTTTAGCTTTTGAACTTGAGATGATTCAAGCCGAGGTCATCCATATTCTTGTAAATAACATTAACCTAAACTTAGGACCCACTATTCCTTCACATCGTTTCAGATTATGGGAATTCCTTGAACAGGATTATGCTGAGGATTTGTATAGGATTTTCTGGAATTCAGAAGTTAAGTTAGCAACCCCCCCCCCCAGTCTCTCTTTCACACTATTTAGGCTGCAGTCCTAAACCCACATACCAGAGAGTAAGCCCCGCTGTGCTGATTGGGATTTGCTTCTGAGAAGACATGGCTAGGATGGAACTGTTATTTTGCTAAACTTTAAGCAGGGAAATAACCATACTTTGAAACAGCTTAATGGGTGGAATCCCAGGATCTAACAAAGCCAGGCTACTTAGTTCTGTATACCCAAGGGGAATTCGGCCTTTCATTATTGAATGTATTACATTGATGTCCCATCTTTCCTCCAAAGAGCTCAAGGAGGCATACAGGGTTTCCCCCTCCAATTTTACAACAACCCTATGAGGTAGGTTATGCAGAGAGAGAGAGAGAGAGCGACTTGGGTTTCTCAAATAACAACCCTCCATGTGCGTTGTGGTGTGGCATGTGGGAGGGGCCTGCTGTTCCAAGAAAAGATCAAAAATTCCACTGGGAGTGGGGAGGGCGTACCAAAAGCAGCTTTGGGAATCCTAGGAATAGTACTGTAACTTTTATTACAGTTTTCTAACATAGCCCACATTTTGTGCATTGGACATTCTTATTTTAAAAACAAACGAACAATTGTCCTGTTAAGCATTCCCTTCCTGCCAATGGAGCACAAAGAGCAACGCCTGTCACTCCGAGACAGAGATGGGGAACCCGTGGGCCCTCCAAATACTGGTGGACTCCAACTCCCATCAGCTCCGGCCAGCACAGCCAATGATCAGGGGAATGATGGACTTTGCAGTCCAACAACCATCTGGAGAACCACAGCCTTCCCATCCTTGCTCTAAGGGCACAGGGAATTATGCCCCATTAGTTCCTGCTCCCCTGCTTGCTGTGAGATGCATCTGGAATGCTGCGTATTACAGGAGGAGGGAGAAATGTTCTGTCTGAGCAGCAGAGCAAAAAAGAAGTCACGGCTATGTACCTCGTCTCTGCAAGTCAGAGCCTCCAAAAGCTGTACTTACAGATTAGTACAAAAATGGGGAGGAAACGGTGTCAGTCAGTCTGCACATATGCATTCATGTGCCATTGAGGAATTTTGAGGGGCAATTTGGAAAAGCTGCTCACCCAGAGAGAATTGTTGCATGATCAGAGTAGCTAAATGCAAAAGTTTGCTTATGGAGCAAAAATCTACGGCATAGAGTGCACTATGCTATTCTCTGGAGGTCAAGTCCAATTGTGTTCAATAAACACAATGTTTAGGATGGCAGCTCTAAATGTATATCTTAGACCAATGGTTGGATGAGAAACCTTGACTATCTCTTCTTAATATCTCAAGGAAATAATCGTCGTTTAAACATTTTAAGAGTAACGTCGGTACAGAATAACAAAGTTGATACTGATATGAATGGGGATTCTGATAGGAAACTGGATTAGGGTGAAAATCACTTATTTTGTAATTCTCAAAAGCATTTTGATAATGGTTCCTATAGGAAGATGAAATAAAGTTAGACCTTCTTTTTGACATGGTACTGGAACTTGTAAACGGAACTTCCTAGGAAGTGGGGTGGGCTTATTGATGGATTAGCTGTGGAGACCTATATTTTGGGAGAGTATCTCTAAATGTTAAGTGGGTTGGGGAACCCATTCTTTCTCATTGCCACTAGAGGGAGAGGCAAATCTGAATATAGTTGCGGCTGTAGGATTGGTAAAGAGTTGAATGCAACTGTAAAGACAGCAGTGTTCCTAAATTACGGTACTTTTGGCGAATGCTCAGTCATTAAGTGCAATAACCCTAGAAGGACCCCTGGCTGCCAACTTATTTCATTGAATCCAGTTACGTATTGGGCAGCAGGGCCAATGCTTTTGTTATAGGGCAGCATTTGCCATATGCAATGTACATAGGGCAATGTACAACAGGTGTTTCTGATGCATTGATGTGCTGGACGAGCCAGTGTGAAGGCTGTACCTTGCACATATTTAAACCACAGAGAACTGGTATAGTAGTGATGCTTGGGCTGGGCAGTTTCCATTTCTGCAGCATGAAAAGTTCTGAGTTAAACAGAACTCTTTTTGTCAGTCAGATATAATGCTAAAGATTGCCTGCTCTGTGCCAAACGATTATCACTAGTGTGGTGCACTTGTTAGCAAGTCTGGCTAGAGTATGGAAAGCCCAAGTTTAAATCCATACTCAGGTTGTTGTTCTTGTGAGGGTAAAACACCACTCTGATCTTACATTGGGGTACCAATGCAATAGATATCTATTTGATGGGACTAACCTGGCAACAGCTGTCTGCGCCAAGTTTCACTATTTAAAATTATTCACATGGAGGCCTACAGATAATCTAAGGTAATAGAATTTACGTGAATTACCTGACAAGTGTGGAAATCATAAAAATAGATGAATTTTCTGGGGAGAAACTTTCTATTTCTCATCTACCAGAAGAGGTCGCTAGAGCTTTTTTAAAAGGGTATGTTTGGAGGATGTCTGGAATATCCATTTCGTCATATTTGTTTCTCTAACAAAAAGGTCAGGAATCGTACACTTTTCCTGGTTTGCTGTAGTTTTCTAAAAGCGAGTCTCCTTCCCTTCCCGGAATTAATAAGAGCAAAACATTCTTGAGCAAATCGCGACAGAATTTCTGCCCTCTCTCTCCTTGCGTGTAACTCAGGAGTAACTAAATTGTCTCATAAATATCAACGTATCTCGAAAAGCGCTTGGTGGTCTATCTGGACTCCACACGCTCCACGTCGGGTCCTCTGCGCTACCGCCTCCTTCCCTCTAGAGGGCGCATTATGAGCATCCGTAAAACGATGCACAAAGCTCGTGTACAACGCCCTAAAAAGCGACTGTTCTCAAAGACTTTGGGAGAATCTGTTGTTTTCTGAAATCCCTTGGTAAATCGGGGCAATAACCCGTCCCCAGCCCCAAAGCACTAGAAGTTCTCCAAGGAGGCGATGCTGATAAATTTAGGAGTTCTGGATTTATCATTGTCATGCATTGCTTCTCCAACCCCAATTTTGCTTTTCTCTTAAAATGGGGGGCGGGTGGAGTATGGGGAGGGGGAGAGAGAGGTGCGTGGGTGTGTGGGAGAAAAGACTGCTTGGCTTCTTGCCAGGACCTCTCCACATGAGCCAAGGAGGGCTGGGAGGGGGCGAGTTTAAGCAAGCTCTGAAGAACTCCCATCCCTTCACTCCGTCTTATGGAAATAAGAGACAGCTCTTTTGCCAGCTGGAGTCAATGCAAACTACGATTCCCCCCCAAACTCAGTCTAACTGGATGGGGCTTCCCCGGGGGCGGGCGGTAGAGTTATAGTGGGCAGCAGTTTCTCAGGCTTTGGAGCATACCCAGATGTGCACGAAATCTTGTCCTTGCAGCTCCCGGAGAAAGGAAGCATTCGACGGCAGGGCAACATTCCTTAGGACGAAGTTAGGAGAGGATTCCGCCGCCGCCGCCGCCCAAACCCCTCTCTCCCCACCAAACCCTGCTCCAAACAATCTGAAGGCACTTACATTGACTGGTTGCTAGGCATGAAGTTACTGCAAGCAGCAACAAAATCCGTGTATCCACAAAGCTGAGCATGTCTACTGTCTAGACATGCAGACTCCTTGTGTTTCAGAGTCCCCGGGTCGGTGGTGAGCTAGAACTTTAGGGACGCAGGCATACAGTCGTGGTGGCGAGTAACTCCAAACTTAGCAGAAACCTGCTGCCCGGGATGCTAAAATAATAAAGCCCTCGACGGCCCTATTTATACGGCGAGGGGGTTCCTCGCGCTGGCCGAGCCGTAGAACGCGCCGCAGCCAATCGGAGAGCCCGCCGTGCTCGGCGGAGGGGCGGGTCAGGCTGCGAGGAGCCCGGGCCTGCGTCACGTGACGTGTTTTTTCTTTTCTTCTTCTCATTCCCAACCTGTCCCCGCCGTTTTGGCAGAGCTGCTGTTGGACGGGGCGGGGAGAGGGAAATCTGGAAGCGAGGAAGGGAGAGAAGAGGAAGGCGCGAGGGGGAGGGAGGAGGGGTGAAAGAGGTGGGGTGATGGGAGGGAGGCAGGCAGGCAGGAGCTGGGGATGCTAAATTGGTTCCATTCTTTTTGAGGACGTGGACACTTTGAGGCTTTATAAAGGGAAAATCTGACTGGCTGCCTGGATTCTTTTTCTTCCTCCCCCCCCCGTCCCTCACACCCCACTTATCCACCCCTCCCCCTTTTCTTTTGTGGCTTGCGCGCCTGGGAGGCTTAAGGCGTCGCAGGGCGAGGCTTTCAAAGCGGGAGCTGTCCAGGTCCTGCCATCGAGGTAAAGGAGGCGAGAGCAGGCAGAAGGACACGCCGACGGGGAAGCATCGGGAACCTGGAGCGACCTGGAGGCTCCCTTGGTTTTGACACCCAGCCATCCACCCCTCCGCCCCGCAGATCGCGCTGTGTTCTGGGGAAGGGACGTGACTCCGCGGTGGGGCGCCTGCCTTGCGCAGGAAAGGTCCCAGCTTCGTTCTAGCGTTTCCAGACGCTCCGCCTGAAATCCTGGAGAGCCGCTGCCGGTCCGTGTAGACGCTACGGAGCCAGGTGGAGCCCATGCTCCGATATGGCACTTTCCCCTATGTGACTGACTCCTCAGAAAGCAGAGCGAGCCAAAACAAAAACAACCCCCCCCCGACTTCCTTTCCAGGCGACCCCATCCCTCGCTTACTCTGGAGCAGTCCTCTGGAATGGGGCTACTCTGGAGTAAATGAGCTTTGGCTTGCAGGTGGGAAAGGGGGGAGCTGTTTGACCCCCTCTGAACCTGCGTGGTGAGACCACAGGGAGCCCGTCGGAGGAAGACGAAACACACAGCCCTCATCTTGCCCAGACTTTTTGCCTCCCCAACCCTATAGACTAGGGCAGCTCCAGAATCGCCCCAAGATGAGGTATAATCCCCCCTTTCACTTTGGGGGATGAGCTTCCCACTTCCTTGACAGCCACAAACACCTCTATCTCTATATACAAGCGCAACAAGATCTCCCAACGTTCTTCTCTGTGAATCCCATTGGTTTCGCCTGTCTCTGTCCTCTCTGGCTGCGTTGATTCTCAATTCCCCTTTCCTGGATCAGGCCCTGGACGGACGCCCCGTTGAAGAAGAGTACTAGCAGTCGTCCATTGCCACCCCCACACCTGCCAACAAAAAGCCCTAATCTCGTTTAGCTTCAACCGAAAGAGAGCGAGAGGCGGGGTAGGTGTTGCTCTATGCTCCCATTTTACAGACAAGGAACCTGAGGCTGAGAAACATTGCAGTGTAAGGAGCTGCTCTGCCGGGACTGCATCGCCCCCCGCCTGCCCCCCAACCTCCACAAGGTGAAGGGGGGCTTGCCAGAGTCTAGCAGGCCCCTTCCTTTCTCCCACAGTCCTTTGCTCAGCCCCATTGGTTCCTAAAGAGACCTTGCTTCCAAGAAAGCATGCTTAGGATTTCAAGTCAATCTTGGAGTGCGGGGAGGGGGGGGCGATTCGGCGGGGTGTCGCCGCCCATCGTCCCATCCGCGGCTGTCCTGATTTTCCCAGCTTTTCCCCTTCCCCCTTTCCCCTTCTCTTCTGCGGTGGCTGACGTGGTCACTCCTTCTTGCCAAGCCTGCTTCTATCTTCTTGGGGGGGGGGAGGTGGTGTCTCTCCCTTCTCGTCCCTCCCTCGGAGCGGCAACCGCTTTGGCATGTCAAAGGCGGGGGAGATGGCCGAGCCACCTCAAGGAAAAGCCAGACCTGGAGAGATTTCCCTTCCCCAAGATCCTGACGCAGGAGCCTATCCCAGCTCCTTCTCTGCGCCTCCACCCCGCCCACCAGCACCAAAAGGATGGAGGGGGGGGGAGAGAAAGAGAGAGAGAGAGAGAGAGAAAGGAGCCTGCAGGCTGAAGTTCCTCCCCTCTTTTTTTGTTGCGAGGCAAAAGGAATTCTTGCCGGGTCCCACCAGCCAGCAGCAAGAAGTTAAGAGACTTAGAAGCAGCTGGAGCAGCTGGAAGGTGGGGAATGGGATTCCTCGATCACATCAGCGTTTAGTCTTGGGACCTGAGAAGCAAAAGGCAAAGGTGAGAGTGTTCCTGAGCATGTGCAGAGCAGCAGAGACTGCCCCACCAATGCCAGCCAACCCCACACCTGCCTGCCTTCTTGCTTGCTTGCTTGCAGCAATCAGTCCAGAGGCATAGCTGTCAACGTTTCCCTTTTTTAAAGGGAAATTCCCTTATTCCGAATAGGATTCCTCGCAAGAAAAGGGAAAAGTTGACAACAATCTCCAGAGGCTGGCCCTGCCTGCCAGCTGCCTCCTCCCTGGTCTCCATGACTGGCCATATCCATAATATGTTCAAAACGCTGTGATACCACTTTGACAGTCATTGCACCAGTCCTGAAGAATTCTGCAGTTTGTCAAGGGTGCTGGAGGGTTGTGAGGAGACCCCCTATTCCCCTCACAGTCCTCAGGTGGGTTTCACAGTTAATCCCTCTTACCTAGAGACTCTGGGAACTGGAGCTCTGTGAGGGGAAGGGGGGCGGTTTCCTGAAAACTCTCAGCACCCATGACAAACAGATTTTTTGGGGAGGCTGGCTTTAATGTATGGTGCGGCAGAAATCACAACCTGAGTTCGAGTTCTTCCTCCAGTCGGAGCCAGGACACTTGTTGATAAACCCAGAGAGCCACTACCAGTCAGTGTAGAAAGGAATGAACTAGGTGGAGCCATGCTCTGGCATACAATATATTTGTTGCACGCCACCCCAGTCTCAGAGCCATGTGCAATTCCAGCGGTCCCAGTTGTCCCGGGTTTCAGTTTTCTTTGAACGAGGGACAGTTCATTTACACATATATACAATAGTACCTCTGGATGCGAATGGGATCCATTCTGGAGCCCTGTTCGCATCCTGAAGTGAACACAACCTGCATCTGCATGTGCGCGGGTCGCGATTCACTGCTTCTGCGCATGTGTATGACGTAATTTTGAGCGTCTGCGCATGCGCGAGCGGCGAAACCCGGAAGTAATGCATTCTGTTACTTCCGGGTCGCCGCGGAGCACAACCCGAAAATGCTCAACCTGAAGCAAATTTAACCCGAGGTATGACTGTACAACCTGAGCCTACGACTGAGGAGCCCACAGAACTAACAGCCCAGAAGGCATTGCTTCTCCCATCATCACAACCTTGGAATCAAATGGAAATCAAACATCTGTCACGGATGCTTTAGCTGAGATTCCTGAATTGTACTAGATGAGTCTTGGGGTCACTTCCAACTCTATAATTCTATGGCTCTCACCCTCTTGTTCCTGCCTGTGTCCAGCCTGGCTCTCTCACACACCACTTTCTTTCTGGCTACCAGTCAGGTGAGGCCCACCTGTTTGCCTTCTGGCACAGAGCAACCTTCTTACTTAGGCCCATTAACTCACCAGGAAGTTGGCCTGGCTACTTCAATAATTGAATCCCCATTAGAATTATAAGGCACTCAGGCAATATGCCAACCAATTCCCAAAACTCACAACAATATATCTATAAGGCAGCTTCCTATGTTCCTTTGCTTCCCAGAGCTGCTTCATGAGGCAAAGGGCAAGATGGCACCCACACCATTCCGTATATCAAAGCTGACCCAAATGCTAGCTGGATCTTCCTTCTGTATGGGCAACAGACCCACACCTGAGGGCAGAAGGCTAACTTAGTGGGTGGAGGGCAGGCCACATAGTGGTATACACAGCTCTCTTATCCACCTCATCACTGTGCCTGCCCCACCCCAGAACCTGCCACCCGAGCCACCTGCTTCACTTTGCCCAATGGCAGGGCCGGACTGCCCTGGCTGTTCCCTTCCTTGTTTCAGTCCAAAAAAAGCAAATTAACTTCCTGATTAACTTTTCACACAGTTGCAACAGGGACATACCTGTAAAGTATCAACTTTCTTACATAGTTTGCTGAACTTTTCTGCTAAGTTTTCTTTCTCATTTCTTTTCTCTTGTCCTGTTTTCAAACATTAGTAACAAGAGGGAGATCTTCCTTACTCTGAAGCCCTACTCACCGAGGTATACGAGAAACTTTATTAAAGCTGTTCCAGAATAAAATAGCATGCAATTTGCTCAGTAGGGGAAAGACCCTCAGTAGCTTTTGAGATTAAATTCCACTTAATTTCCTTCCTGTGCAATAAACCATGCACTGCTCTGAACACCGTCTATGACATGTCCTTACCTGCATCACCACTTGGGCTTCAAACAGTAGCAGTGCATTTTGCAAAAGCATGAGAATGAGCTACTTTGTCTTCCAGTTACCTGATAATTAATTGGTCTAATTGGGAATGGCTGCTCTCTTGTTTTCTTTTAACACTTCATAATTTTTTATTGATTTTTTATTGATCATAAACTACTTATACATACAAAAATAGACATTATTCAAACACTATTTGATCTAGATTATATATGCAAACCAAGTTGCAGCATTAAAACATAACATAACCACACCAACAGAACTATAGTACATTTTTATCACACTTTACAGCAATAAAAAAATCTACGTATTTCTGGAAAGAGAAACTTATACAAACTTATTCTCCGCATAGGAAGCTGCCTTATATCAGGTCAAACCAGTCACCTAAAAGACAACAGGGAGGACACAAGGTGCACATTCCTAGGTGCACAATGCTAGCACCACCACCAAGAAGACCCTAGTCCATCTGGCCACCCATTGCCATGGAATGCACAATCACAGCATCACAGCATTGGTCAAGCCCTCTGTTTGAGGCAGGAAATCCAGCACACTGGCATCTTCAGTCAGTGGCTGTCCAGCCTCTGCTTGATAGGCAGAGCCCCACCACCCCTCTAGGA